TACTTTGTTCGTTTGTTTACATACTTTATTATGAACCGTTCTCTAGTTATAATCAATTCAATACAAATGAATTTTTTCTTATTGGGAGCTAGACTTTCGGTCGTCCGTACTTGTATAAACAACGAGACGAACACGATGTCATTCCGAGGGCTGTACAAGATTAACGGGAGAGAATTGAGATCGGGCATTTTGTGATTTCGATAGAAGAAACTATGGCGAATCGAATGATTTATATTTCTTAATGATCGAGTAGATCATTTACGAGTTATGACCACTTAAAGAAAGTCATTTTTGTGTTATTTTCGTGTACCTTCGCAATATTTTGGCGTTTTAGCGGAATTCGAAATAGATTTCGAATCGGGAAATCATTCGTATTGGCTAAGGATTAAGCTTTCAAATGAGACATTGATTATCGAAATCGGTTGAGTGGTTGTCTTGTTATAATCAAAATACTATACATGTAAAATCCTATCTAATTGGGGGCTAGAAAAATGGGAGCTAACTTTGCATAGGTAAATGTAGGATAGTGCGTAGGAAGTTCAAAAAAATTAAACTGTAAATATATATAATAAAAACATGTATAACACAATTGTCTGATTCGTGTTAAACCTAAAAAAATCTTATGATCTTGTAAATTTCGCTGAAGTTGATTACTTAAATCGAACTGGTAGAGAGAATTGAATCGGTCAACGTGGAAACTTAATTGTTAATTTTTTCAGGGAAATTGAGTTTTATATTAATTCGAATGATGGATGGAATGGTGTAGAAAGGTAACTTGTTTTGCCGTTCTAGCTTGTAGAGTATCAACTCTTTATATACTATACATAGAACCGTTCGAGTTTAAGAAACTTGGTTGGACCAAGAAATTTTGAGAAAATGGAAATATCTGACATGAAAAATTTCAGTATATCAAAATTTTATCAATTCAATAATAATACTGAGATACAGGGTGTTATTATTGCTAGATATGCTGTTAATGGCTATAACAGGACAATTTTCGATTACGATTAATTAAAACAGCAACCTCATTTCCAATAAAATTGCATCAAAAATATTAAAATGTTTTCAGAAACAATTATTTATATTGGTGCCCTTAGTTACAACTGACATTTTCAGTCTGCACTGTAAATGGAATTTGATATTAAACATTTTCTTAACGTAACTTAATTTTTTACCTTAAAAGGTAAAAACTTTTAACACTTATTTGTACATTGGATGAGGATCCGGAAAGCCTGAACTTGCGATTTATCTGAAGAAGGATATCTCACCTTGTCAGGTCTATTAATTTTTGATTATGCACCAGACCATCTACATGTGGAAAATCTAAGTATGAAGTTAATCTTTCTTCTAATCAACACTTCCAGCATCACGTCATATCGACGTTAAGTATTACTGGTCGTCTTGGGTTTTGATCACGAATACGGTTTGTACCTGCGTGTACTTACATATAACGATGTTTATAGATAGATGATTTAGACCACCTAGAGATAGAAAAGCTGCAAAATCTGTCTTTGTGTTTTTTAGACAGCACTATAGATAAGTCCTCTGCTAATATTTCTACAAATATGAAGGTTGAAAGAGTACAAATAAACGGTTTTGCCAGAAATGTTGACATAGAATTATAGAATTTCACGTTTTTGCTTATTTATAGAAATTTTATTTGGAGATTTATAGTAAAAAAACAAAGTAACAAAAATTGAATTATTTCTGAATTATGTAAAGTGATAATCACTTGAATGAATTTAAAGAAAGATATAGAAGAAACGTTATTAGAAGAGGTATTTTTAGAAGAAATATGCAATAAATAGTTAACTAAGTTTGGAATAAACCGATTCGTTTGACTGTTATTTGACGGTCAAATGCATTACAGTTAAAAACAAACATATTTTGTCGTCATTTAGCGTGCCAGAATTTCTAAACGAACGATGTATCTGTTAAGGTTATCTTGGGTGTTAAGGATTAGACACCACTCCCTACAACGCACAATCTGTTCCAACACCGTTGACAATTTTGTATACGTTCTTGAACACGTACTTGGATGAACATGCGCAGAAGAAAGTCACGTATCTGTTGTATATTTTTATATGAACAGGTCCAAATTGCCGGGTTGGAACAAATTTATTACTTATTTTATACAGACAAAAATCAATAATACTAAACCATATCATTTATTTAAAAAAATAAGGAGTTCCTCTTTCGAATTAACAGAAACGACAAAAAAAACATTCATTTCGTTAATAAACAATAAACAATTGTTAGAACTTTCGTTAATGCAGGATTGCTAAATAAAACTAAAGTTCATGGCCTTTTTTTAATTTCTATTATTGCTCCTAACCCGTGCAATAACGTTGTGGAAAAGTGCTCTCGCAAAATAAACTATAAGTTTCACAATTCAATAATCTTGACAGAAAATATGATAATCCGTTTTCTAAAATTTCATGATAATAATTGTGGCGATTGTTACTCCTTACTAGTTCAAATCCGCTTCAACGACCAACAAAATTATGGAAAAGTTAGGATTCTGGTGAATTTCGTTTCGCCTATGAACAAAAATTTGTTCTTAATAGATCATCTTCGGAATGCAGTATTTAAACAAATTGTGAGTGGTATTGATACAAGCTGTGGCTTCGAAGATATTTATGAACAGAAGAATTGGTGTGATGGTTATTGACAACAATCACACAATACACGTACGGTTCGCAGATCGTAGTTCGGAAAACAGTCTAAAACTTTTATAATATTAGAATTCTCTGTTAATTAACCCTGTCATATTTTTTATAATAAAAGTACCCTTCTCAATCTTTTCGTAAATCTTTTCAGTCTTTCCTCTCCTATTCTTTGAAAATGTTCCCGCCGAACTACCTGTCTAACTTCAATATATGCTAATATAGATTGGTGATATACTCAGATCATCCCACTTATTCCATCTCCACCCCCTTAATTTTTATGTGTACATCATCATTCTTATTTAAATATCAAATGTCTTTTGCCACCATTCTTAGTTTCTTTTTTTTTTGTGATTTAGAGTTCTTGATGACTTCGGCCATAAAAGTGATGAATAGCAGCGGCAATGTTTCTGATATCAAATTATTTCCTATAGCTGCATTGGTATTCATTTCATATACATTTTGTACCAACTTTATCGTGTTTTTTTCCTCACTCACAAAATTTGCCACAGTTTTTCCTGGGTGTACTATTGAAAGCCTTCCAAGTTCTAGAAATGATTCGAAGAGTTTTCTTTTTTCCATAAGTGCCTTCTCTGTGATTTGCTTTATAGTAAATACGTGATTTTGGAAGTAGTTCTTCTGTTTTGTCTCAGTCTCTTTCCTATTATTTTCTCCAACACCTTCATAAGTGTGCTTAATACTGTGATACCACAATAGTTTTTATAATCATGTGCATTCCTTTTTGAATATAGGTACGATTAATACTTTTTCTCAGTTTACCTGCTGGTAGTTTTTCTTCTGTCCATTCCTCACGATACATAATACACTATATTTTAATCATTTTCGATGTTATTTTATCCCAACCAGATGCCATTTCATTTTTTAACTCTCATTGCGCTTATCTCTTTTCTCTTTTCTCCCTCCCCGTCTTGTACCAATTGTGTTGTTATTCTGTAATACCCCATCTTTCCATAATTTCATTTTCCTCCGTTAGCACTTCGCCCTTTCAGTTGTAATACTTTGTGTATTCTCAAGAATTTGAGTATTCGATAGAATAGTTTCTGGTTTTCTGCGATACGCTTTTTTATCTTTTCTCCAAATTTTTTCCACTGTTTATTTTTGGCAGCAATTATCATTTACTTTGATTTCTTTCTTTTTATTTGGTAATTGTTGTAACTTTGTTGAGTTTTTTTTGTCGGATAGTTCGTACATACATCTTTCTTCACCTTTACTTGCTTTTTGACCTCTTCCGTTCACCCCGTTGTGTCTATTTAAGCAGTCCCAATTATCATCTGTTTCCACTTTCCATGTTAATTCTATTACTTTCCACTTTCCTGTCCATTTCTCGCTCAAATTTCTCTGCTATCTCTCAATTTATACGTTTCAATCATATGATTTACTGTTTTCTGATTTCATGTGTGGTTTTGTTGTTTGCATTGTTCTTCGTACTCTCGTTTTCTTTTATATCGATCTTGTGTATATTTTCCATGCCTTATTTTGCTTGGTAGTTTATAAATTCCATGTTATTTTTCCTTTGTTTCTGTTATTACTATGTAATTGTGACTTCAAGAATTTCTTGAAGGTTTCAATAATTAGTAACTGGTTAGATAAAGAAATAACGAAGTTTAGTGAAGCTACGACAACTATAATCTTTTAGCTACTCTAATTGATAACATTTAATAAATTAGAAATTGCCGAAGCACAAATTCCTTACAAGTTTCTTAGAAAAAGACTTTGCTTTTAAGGCTTTAGTGATTTTCTTTTTGCGTTATTTTGAATTGCAGAATACATATCCGAGATTTGGGGAAACAACATTGACTAATGCTGCAACAAGAAGGATAATGTTTTGATCATGTAGGCACCAACCTTGCCTTTAAATGTTTATAAAACGACATTGCATTATGACAGATCAATTTTTAATTACTCCGACATTTTTTGAAGAGTCTTCGTCTGCTTTGGGAATCAATCCTTAATATTGTAATGGTTTAATCATCTTAGGTTTTTATATCATTAAAAACCAATCCTGTTATGTCCCATTTAATCTTTGAAATTGCTTCTTCTACCATATTCTAATTTTTTATCTTGTAGAGTGTGGCCAAGGTACTCCTCGGTTATCGATTTACGTTTTACCTTTTTCTACTCTACACCAGTATATTTATTTTTCCTAATTGCTATTTATAACGTTGCTTTTTTTCTTGGATAAGTTTTATACATGTTTATTAATAACTTATTTATACTCTAGTAAAGTAATAAAGTTCATCTTTAGTAAAAATTTCTTTTTTTGTTTATATAGTGAAATCCAAATAAATTAATTTTGATATACTTTATTTTCAGGAACATCAACTAGACGTTCTATCGATGTAGGAAAACCTCGAAGGATAGCAGATTTACCAGAAAATTTGCTTATGTCAGGAATTAATTTACCAGGTACGTTTTATTTGCAAGAGAAAATGCAGTCTATTTAAATTTTCACTTTCTCGTTAAATTTGACACAGAACAAAACTCCAACACTTTCAATCTTTTCGAATATAATGTATAATTTTTAAACTCAGCCTCGATTTTTTTTGACAAGAACTCATGAAAGTGTAATCGTTGTTGGTATGGATGGACGGGCCGAAGGACGCGTTTGCTGTATAATTAATTGTCGGATTCTGCGTCTGATGTGAAAGCACGCGATCCCGTCCGACGTCAGGTTCGAAGTAGAGAACGATCCCTCATTTTTGCTTTCACGCGTTCGTCTGACAACGAAAACGAAGACAAAAAGGCGAAATCGCTCTCCCCCATAACCCAGTGACTCCGCGGCCGCGTAAACGAGTGAGTTACTGAGAGCGTCATTTTCCGGGCCATTACGTCTGGAATATCATCCGCGGACGTCGTTAACATCGTCCAAGAACGCGAATTAAATACTGGTAACGGGGATTGGAAAAAAATTAATGGCCATGCGGTCGTCTTTGCTTTCGCGATGTTGATTGATCGATGGCACGCTGCACTATAAAAGACGTGACTTTTAATTGCCACAGACTGGTTAAATTACATTCGTTCTTTAATGGTGATATTTAATAGTACCTATTCGTATAACAAATTCGCTTAACTACTTAAATTTACGACTGTTTCCTTGTATCTGAAATAAAACGGAACAAATTATAGGTTGGTATTAAATAGGTCAATAAAACGATGGTTATAAATCGTGATAAAAGTATGTCTTAAAATAATTAACAATATATGTAAGAATTTTATCTAGAATGTCATTAGCGTTAGTGAAATATCAAAAATGTCCCGCTCTAGTTAACTATCGCTACTAGTTCCCACTAAGTTTCAAATGGTTAACAATAGTATGTAGGTCTCCAGGTAGAAAATGAACGGAGACGATGAGGTAAGTCTGGGAAATTTGTGCGGTCGTTCTTCGGCAGCATCCGGTCAAACCACTGGGTGTGGGTGAACCCTGACATGGACTTTAGCTTCCGCATAGCGGTCGCAGTTCTGGGTCAATGATGTCAAACTAACTTATGGGGGGCCACGCAGAAATTAAAACAACCTTCTTACAAATTAGTAAACGTAAAGATAATTTTCTTTCAAAATCAACTTGTATAGGTTAAGAGCAAAGTTAAAACAACATAAGAAAGTATCACGGTGTTACTAATTTCACTAATAAAACAATATTTGTTGATGGTTAATAAGAAACAGAAGATTTTAGTCGTAAAAGTGTCGGGTACCGTTTGGTTCCCTGAAGCTAAATTGTCTACTAATTATCGATAGTAAACTCCTTTGACTTCGTTTCGTAATTATGCAAATTCGTTTTAGTGGGTGAACGAAGAAGTCGGTTGATTAGCGGGATGTGTGTTAATTCTGATGGTAAAAAAAGACTGCTTCCATTAGAAGTAGCCTCAGGTAATGACGCGACACGATGTAGTAGTAGTAACCTAAACGTTACCATTTGACGAGAAGATCTCCGTTGATTTATTAAATAGTTTTGTCGCCTCGGGGATTTAATTTCGTGAGATTACGTTTTAATTTTCTTAAATTAAGCGGAATTAAGTTGTGTATAAAGGAAATTAACGTCCGACCAGCTGTAATTATAGGAGAGCTGACACCGACTTTCATTTAATCGAGGCAAGATGCCGGAAGCCATTGATTTATAAACACAATTTAATCCGATGCGCATTTAATTTTTTTACATGTTGTATTAAAAAAAAATGACGTTTTGACCTATTGCTGTTAGGGAATTACAACAGACCATTGTCCGTCTAAATCAAAATTCGTGCGTCACGCGAATTCTTTTGCAATAACGATCGTCTCGACTTTGGCGGTTTAATCGTAACACAAATCGCGTTACGACCGAAATGGAATCGAAATTCTCGTTTACGAAATGGAAAGTCCGGGCACATTTGCATGGTATCAGGAGTAAAAGGCAAGATCCAAACCGCGCATAACTCTCCGCGTAATGAGCGATCTTAGGCATTGTGAAATCGCACCAAGAGAATTGAACTTGTTTTGAATTTCCGACTAGTATATTTTAACATTGCTCTTAATATGGTACCGCAAATACTTAAGTAACTTTTCCGGCACCTCCACCATATTTTCAATAAAAAATAATTGAATAATTTTTATTGAAACTTTGTAAGTTTTCGGTTAACGAACTGAGTAAATTGACCATAATAACCGACGTAAATTGCCGGTATCAAATTTTGCCCATCTCCAATCTCCATATAGAATGGTATAACGGCCACAACAAAAGGGTCTTCGAACGTGGAAACAACAAAGCGAGGACGCGACAGGCGTCATTATCGCGCGTTTTCTGTTAGTACGATAAGATCAACGGCGAAATCGGCGTCAAAACGCGTCTGTTTTCTCACGGATCCTGCCCGTCCATTACCATAGATCGATCTGAGAGAATACGGCGACCAACCACCTGTTTGGGGCCTTTCTCCGGCCTGTTAGAGCGTTATCTGATAGGCCAATTTGCTGAGGCCAAGCGTCCACTCGTTTCCACGCAATTTCACTTTGTTCGCGTGAAGGCGGCATAAAATTATACGGAATTTATTCCCATTGTAGGTAGTATAGCAAAATTTGAGTGTATTAATTTCGTTTTTTTTTTTTTAATTTTAGGAACAACAGATCTAAATGGAAGACCAATTATTTTATGTTCAGCCGAATGTATATCAAGAGCGAATTGGAATAAATATGAAATCGCCAAACTCCTTCTTTATTACGCTTCGGTTGCAAGGTGAGATTTTTTACTAACAAACATTATTAAAGTGAAATATCCTATAAAAGCATTGAAATTGAATAGCAAATTTCCCTTTAAACATTCTTGCGAATGTATGAATGTTAAAAGACGATATGTATAAGACGTCGTAGGAATGCGACTTTCGAGGCATTTTACGGTCTTTCACCGCCCGAACGGGGCAAATTTATAATTATAGGCGAGGAGACATAGGGACACTTTGCGCGCCGCTTTGTTTATGGTTAATAGAACCGTATATGGATGTTACGGCGTTACCAGAGTCGTTTATAAAAATAAAACATTGTAAAAGGTGTAATGAAATAACCGATCGTGATCGTGTAGACCAGTGGTTCCCAAAGTGGTACCAAATACCTTAGGGATATAACGATGTTGTTAGAGATCGGCAGGAATTTAGGTCATTCAGGATTTCTGTTAAAGTGGAATTTCTTATGTTTGTATTTTATATGTAAATTTTATTTGTTGTATTTAAATGGTACTGAATTTAAAATGATTGAATGATAGGGAAAAGAAGAGAAAATATAACAAAACTGGAACAATTAAAAACATTCTCAAAACGTTCATACATCTTGGGCCGTTTGTTAAAACCATTACGCTACCTTTTTCTATCCTGTGTATTCTTCGTGGGCAATAGTCTAGCCATCACCTCCTTCACGTTCTTCGTCTATGTTCTTTGAGGTCTTTCTCTTCTATGCTTTCTTAAAGAAATCCACCGTCAGATCATTTTTGGACATTTATTGTCACCCATTTTGTTCAAATGCCCATACCATGTCAACCTTTTCTTCTATAATCTTTTTACCTGCCACTATCTTCATCTGCGTTCATTATTTCTTTAATGGCGCTATTTGCTGGAATTTAGATAATTTACAGCTTCTACAGAGAGCGATTTCTAAGTCTTATTCCGGTCATACTTTTTTGAGAAAAGTTTACCAAGTTTCTTCTACTTCCAATTATAAATTGATATATTCTACGTTCAGTATAGTTCCTTATTGCTTTAAATCACCATATGCTGTTTAGCTTTTATATTGCTTTATGTCCTAGATTTCTATAAGTTATTTATAAGTTCTATAAGTCATATCGCTCTCAAAATTTTTAGTCTTACTAAATAAAGACCACAACATCAAAATGTTCTGTGTATGATCCCACCGCTAATTATTGTGGCATGGTCGTCTGCGAGCAGTAAAGTATATAAAAAGCAGTCAAAGATTTAACAGTTATGGTGTAATGAGCGTTTATGTCAGCTTTGGAAGAAGAACAGGCAACCAGGAAATTAACATTCTGGCGGTGAACAAGATCAAATTCTGCCTAATAAAAGTAAAATGATTGGTGACGTAAATTTAGATAGACCCAATTCCGCATAATAAGATATGAGATATTGTGTTGATTGGCAAAGTTTTGGGAAAAGTTTGAAATCTTATCAGTTAGGATTAACATCAAATATCGTTGTTTCGCTATTCTGCATAATATTATTCTGTTGTATTGATGAATATATCATGTTCAATATCTATAGAGATTGTTGATGTTCTTAGTAATACAAATAAATAAATAGATACAATTCTGTATTGATTGTCTATAACTTAATGACATAATTAAAAGTACGATTTTCTAGAAAAGTCTTAGCGTTGTTGCAGAACCATCGAAAAGCACGTGATTGTGGATGATAACAGTGTAATAACTGTTATCGCTGTTAAAATAAATGGATAGCGAAGAAAATTTGTTGTTAATTATTAAGCAATGCAATAATTAATTTGGTTAATGACTAAATAGAAATTTAAACCAGTTCCAATGTCGGGGTGAACCTGAAAACTTGTAACTTGTAGCACCCATTTAACATTATATTAAATATATTTTACAACAATTAATGACGACTAAAGTATTATCTAAAAACATTAAGAATTAATAATTAAAATTTCTGTGCACAATTATCCGATTCAGTTTTCTTTCTTTGGAATCACGTATTTTAAACCATTTTCATTTGCACTTATTGTCTAATGAAACAAGATGTTCAATTTTAATTCCGAATATTTTATCAACATTGTTAATGAAGCTATCACAACTGGATTTGTATTTGGTAGAGAAGGTCTACTAAGCATTTAAAGTAATATATAGAACGTATATTTTATTGTATATACCACAGCAAATTGTAGAGCATAAGAGAGTCAATGCTAACGAGTTTCTCGATGTATGCAATTATCAAAATTGTTACGGTGCCCTCGACAAAAAGTATGTACAGATTTGGTGCCTTGATAACGCAGAGTCGCTCTTTTTTACATTTCGTAATAAACATTTCAGTAGTCCCCATTAAATTAACGATCATTTTTAACAATTGTGATTATAAAAAGAAATTGCTTAACAAAAATCTTCTCTATCTGTGTCATAAATATATTTAAAGAACCATTTAAAACTAATTAATAGGCCTTTATTATTCTTTATCAGGTGGTATTTACAATTTATCAGTTTACGTGGAATTTTACGTGGAACTTTTCATTGCTTAAAATACGGCTTTGTATAACAATAACAATAACTCTATGCCGAGTAACAAGTCTGAGATGTGTTGAAATACAACTTTACTGCATTTGCTCATAATACGCATCAAAACGTGGAACTTCACAATATCTCCCTAAGCACGAATGGAATCAAATCCGAATCAAACCAAATCTTATACAGTGGTAGATTATAGCAGCCATGTGCAACATTGAGACATTTATAAATTCCAGGAAACTCTACCTCAAGAAAGGCTGTCGAGGTAACACATTAAAAAGTGGCGTTTTTAAATTGTTCGGAATTATGGCAAAACACCATTATGACTGATTTCAGTTGATTTTGTAAAATTAAGACAGCCCATGCAGTTCTGATATATTGAAATGAATTGGAATTTTCAAAGGTGTACCGTTTTCATGAGAATATTTTTCTGTAATCGCATCCGCTCTTTGTTATTCAATGTGCACTCATAAAAGCCTTCCTCAAATCTATATTTCTTGATTTACGCATGAATTAATATGTCGAGAGCTTAGCCACTACCTCTCTCGAGTGTGGCCATTTGCGATTTACTGATTAATTCAAATTTGGTTATTACGCATTAATTTTTCTGTTGAGGTTAGTCTTATCAATATCAGGCTGTGTACCTTTAAAAGGAACACTCATTGATATTCATTGTCAACTCATCACAAACAAGTCAACTCACGATGTATGTAAATATAACCAACCACCAAAAGATTTGTGTGAGATTAACTTTTTAAGATAAAAGCTCTGTTTTTCAGGAATCTTCTAAACGATCGAAACCAATATCTTGATATCGAATTTACCCACTATTACAGTGATGAAGCTTTTATCATTAAAATTATTAGAGATTTTATATCCTAGAAACAATTAGTTGATAAAACCTTAAAAACAACTAGTTTTTGTAGGATAACTTTAAATATTGATTAAAATTTCATTAAATTTGCTTAAAAATGTCCTTTGATACGATTTTTGAAGTTACTGTTCACAAAATCAATAACAATGAAATGTGCAGAATAGAGTTTAAACTGTCATAACAAAGTTGTTTATGGAAAATAAGAAATTATTTATGATACACTAATCTGTCTTGAAATTGCTTTAAAATGTTTGTTATTTCTTTATAATATCTGAATTGGTTCTTGAGATACGATTTTTTGTATTTCTGTTGCAAATAATGACTAAACAATGCTTGATGACACTTATATTGGATTTGTGGTCCAGATTTAAGTCAATCTATACGTTACGATTTATTCAAGGAAATTTATTAATTAATAAAATATATTTTCGTTAAATATAATGGAATATATTGCATAATAAATATATTGGAACAAACCACCAAATGATTACGTAATAATGTGTTTGTTGTTTCAATGCACAGAGATTCGTCAATTCAGCGTATGAAGTACATTGTTTGATAAACCATGTATATTTATGATGCATAATTCATGAATTCAATACAATTTTTCCTTTACTCTAAAGCGCAGTTAGATTATGACGGTAGTAAATAGCTGGTTAATTCAAAATTTGGTAATGTTTTATATAAATAAAGTTTGGAAATTGCTGTTGTAGAGGATTCGATGAAATGTTTTTATATTAAACAACCTATTAAAGGTTATTTTGTTGTGGAAATTTAATATTATCAATAAAATACTTTTTTTTGTTTCAGTTCTGAAAGATCAACGAAAGGTTTCACAATTTTATTACTATCCGAAACTGAAGACTACAACAAAGCTTTAGAACTTCTCGATAAAGCGGCCATTATATTGGGAAACCACGTAAAAATCTCGCAAACTTTAGTATGGAGGCCGGGGGTAGAACGTCAGTATTTCTCATCTAGTCGCAACCAGGTATACCTCAATAAATCATCATTTCAAAAGAACCGTTTTAGACCGTTTCTTTTCTTTTCGCGTAAAAACCGAGTTTTCTAAGGATGGCGCGAACGCGATTGCGTTTTACTCGCCGTCCAGGTATGTGTGTCAAGCCGTATAAGATCTCGGGGACTCTGAGGCCTCCCCAATGGGTCATTTAAGAGGTCCAATTAGAAAGTAAGTCTCGCAGAACTAATCCGTCCATAACAGATACCCGACGACAATGGGCGGAGGACTCAGAGAAGAGGTAAAAGTTCCTCTCGCCGTTCCTCTTGGAATTGCAACGACAATCGCGGGCGCTGCATCTCATTTCTAAACCAACATTTTTTAATAAAATCTAATAAAAGAATGAAAATTGAATGATAAGTTTAAATAATTCATAAGAGCCTAATAAGTTATAATAATACGGCGCCAGTATCTCATTTGCAAACGAGGAAACTCTTACATTTCCCGTCACGGCCGTAAAATTGCACGCGCTCGGCCCCTGAATTAATCCACCGACGACAACGACTGTTAATGGCGTATTAACTTTTGTCGTATATACACGATAAATCCGCCACGAGGAAATCGTTACGAGAGGCCGGAGTTGCAAACTTTACGGCTAACACCACGGCCCGTGACACGGACACAGTGTTTGTCGGTGTCGGCGCGTGCGAAAAGTATCGCTTCCTGTACACGTTCGATTCAGAGAGTTTCGCCCGACAAGTTCTTGTTCCGTCGAATGCCATAATTTCCCCTATTTTTTCGCGATATAGAACCGAAGCGAGATAGAACGAAACGATGTTAAGGGAACGATGTGTTTGGGAACGCGATAAGTTTCCGAATAAACACGACCGGGATCTATGTGGGTCACTTCCCCGTTCTTACTTTATTTTTTCTGTTAGGTGGTTGTCTTATCAGACGAAGAATCCATGTCGAAATACATCAGTAAGGATCAGGCTCCGGCCATTTGCGGTGGAAATTACAATCACGATCAATTGGAATGGGTGGAATTTTTCAAACAATTAGAACCTTTTTTGGAAACTTGTAGATTAGCTGGAAGAGCTTTACTTTCGGTGTTATCACATTTGAGGAACGATTCTAGACCTGTTGTAATAACCAGACGATCATTAAATCATCAAACAAGGTAATTCTCATTTTATTTTAATTTAATTGGATTAAGTAAGTTTCGGATTGAGTCATAATTAAAGAATTCGAATGATTAAAAATTACTAATCGATGAGTTTTTTAGTTTAATAGATTTAATTTAATTTATAATTTTAAAAGACATCGTGCGTGCGAGTTGTTCGTTTAGTTACTATTAAACTAACAACGTTCCGTTATGTACGGAAACGATGTTCGGAAAATGTAAGTGCTTGTTCGGTTTTTCCGGGGCCGTACGGGTCGTGGTTCACTCTCACTGAACTTTGCTGAGAGCGAATGCAACGCGAAGTATCTTTGACTATTATTAATAGTGGATGTCATGTTTACTTTACATATTAGGCGATGATCCTTATTGCAAACCACACCAAGTGTGACGGCATTCGACGTTTAGTATTTACGTAATTTACTTTAACAATAAGCTGTACTTTGGGTAATTCGAAACGTACAAGACTTCCTTTACAGAAGAAGTCAATTTAAAAGTCATTAATAAATCGTTTTTTTTTTGTGCATTTATTTGCAGGTAAATTTTTATTGTTATGTTTTAGTCAAAATTTGTACCTACATTAAATAGTAATGACGACAAAAATTATCAGTGTAAGCAACAAAAATCAAACAAATATTCGTTCTTATCTTGTTTACCGCGTCCGGTTCGTTTATGTGTACCCATTAGCAAATTTTGTTTTAATCATCATCCGCCCTACTCCTTATTTCAAATTCCAGGCTCATCCATAACGCTATTCAGTTGGAAGCCGTCCAAGAACTCCGTCGAGACGGTCACGCGACCCTCACAAGCCTAGAAGAGAGGACGCAATGGTTGTCCGGAAGTATGGATGTCCAAAAGGCCGCCACGTTCGCCGCTGAATCTTTTTCGAGCGTGAACAGGGTAGTGAAAAGGCTCGAACAACTCTCGCAAGAGCGGAAAGAAAGGATCAAAGAACTGGAGAAGATAAGGTCCCTAGAGAAGGAGATCGGGGAGGTGAGTGTTTGTCCGTATTTGGGATGGTAATAATACGCGGAAAATGACAAAGTACGCCGCCAAGTGCTCACCTGTAATTAAACGCACGTTTTCCATGGGAATAGATTTATAGATATATTCGGCTGGGAGGGAATGGAATGAAGCGGCGTTTCATGTCTCAGATCGGTGTCTTTATTATTTTTTTTTATGGTTTATTATACCGTTAAGTACAGACGATATTGTATAAAGCACATTGTGTTTCAAAACTTGTGCTAAAATTTTATTCCAACTTAAACAATCTAAAACACCCTGCTTTCTTCTTATCATGATATCGTTAGCATTAAATTCATAAACAAGTTAAAAAAATGATTTCCGTTAAGTTGTAACTTTAGAATTTCCAATAGAAGTTATCACCATCTCATATATCCACTATACCGCCAGTATAAGATAAGCGAACAATTCATAACGAGGCGTTTCATTGAAGATTTGCATTCCGAGTTCAAAGACCTGCAATTTTTACGTTGTGCAGAGAGGCAGATATCGGGAATAAACGTTGTAACGTTTATGGGTCGCCCTATTGAATTCTATTGTACCCGTCCGAGTTACATAACTCGACCAGGTTTATTTGCGTACGATTATCCGGAACGAGATTAAGTTATCGCGAAATGCATACTGTGCCGCCAATAAAGTTGTTAAAAGAAAAAAAATAAAAGACAAACCTAAACAATCGATTCATTATTCTTACAACATTTTTCTTAAAATATTCTCTGCCGCGTTTTCAAACAGGTGTCTTTTATTGTATGTAGATAAAACGTTATGATAAAGTTCACGACCTTCGAACAACTACCTGTACACGCAAACGTCGCAAGCAATTAGGTGACGCAACAAAAACCGGGTGCATGCGCGAGTTTTTAATTAGTTCTAAATATACTTAGAATTAGAAATTTTTTTGTGTGTATTCCATTTACTCGAGCGTGAATCTTTATCCGGCTCTCGAGGACTTCTGCAATTCAACATCTATACGTATATAAAATGTGTACATAGAAACTCACGTGATGCAAGGCCGGTGCGGATATTGTATGTCAAGCGGCAATAGAAAAAAATATACAAAAGAAGTATTGTTTAGCTATGTGAAACTGCAGGGCGCAGTAGTAGTTGTGAATTATTCGTTGGTGAAGTGCAATGGTTTTATTTCGTCAAAGGTGTTATGATTGAAAATTTAGAGAAGGTGAGTCCTTTTAATTATGTGTGCGAAGTTTGCCTCAAATTACATACGATTTTACATGTATAGTGTTTTAATTAAAACTAGAGAACCCCATACCCGATTCGAAATCTCTTTTGAAATCTACTAAAACGCCGAAATATCGCGAAAGTACACAAAAATTACTTTTTTTAGGCGGTGATAAATCGTAAACGATGTACTCTATCATCAAGATCTAGTTGTCATTCCATTCCCCATAGGTTTTTCTATCGAATTCACAAAATGTCCGATCTCAATTCTGTTCAGCTCGAGGTTGATACACGTATGAACATAATAAGAAATAATAATTTCAATTAAGTCGACTATAACTTATTAACGGTATGACGGATGTCAATGTTTTGTACTTCAATTGAAAGTACTACTTTTGCACCAACACTTTTTTTCTAAAACGTTCCCCATGGTTCAATTAACAACAACATGTAAAACCATGATTTCATCTAATTTTCACCTTTTTGAATTTTTCTTGATATTTATGCACCTGAGAGCAAAAATATATTGACAATATTGTTAAGAATTAAGTTTGCTACAACTGTATACTAATACTTTTTTTTAAAACGTTCCGAATTCCGTGGTCCACCAACAATAAAATGTAAAACCATGATTTCATCTAATTTTCACATATTCAAACTTTACCCGATATTTATGCATCTGAATGCAAAGGTGTATGTTTTACGTATTTTACGTCGCGGTATCGTTGGTGAGGAGATCTCTATTTAAAATAATACGCCAAGATTGGAACTTTCACGATATTTATGCATTTGAGTGCAAAAGTGTAAAGAGTAATATGTTAAGAATGAAATTTGTGACAACTTTTCTTCTAAATCGTTGTGAATCCCATGCTGTACCAACAACAAGATGTAAAACCACGATTTCATCTAATTTTTGCCTTTTCGAACTGTTACTCAATAATTATGCATCTGAAAGCAAAAGTGTAAAACAGCAATATTGTTAAGAATTAAGTTTGCTACAACTTTTATACTAAAACTGGTGTTCTAAAACGTTCCGAATCCCGTGGTTTACCAACAACAAGATGTAAAACCATGATTTCATCTAATTTTCACATATTGTAAAACTACGTTTTATTTCATTATCACCTATTCGATTTTTTCTCGATATTTATGTATCTGAGAGCAAGTGTGAGCAATATTGTTATGTTAATAATAAATGGAAAAGAATCTTGGTCGTTACAATATAATAAATGTATATAATCTTGGGAATCGACCAGTGCAAGAGAATTAAATCAAAAGTTGTTCTTTTTCTTTTAACCAAGCTTTCAGAACAAAATTTATTCCTTCTTCAGGGTACAAAAATGGGCGCATAAAAAGCCAAATACATAATAACGCCAGCCTGGATACTCAGTTTAACACTTCAATTACTCAAAAAATATTATAATAAACAAGTACATTATTAAAGTTATAAAAAATAAACAAACAATAACGTTAAATTACAGATTAAAATTGACCGTAAAACGACTAAATTATAAAATTCGGCACGAGCCACGTTAAAAAACCTAGGTTTTTTAACTTTTATGCTTTTTATTTATAGTTAATTTCCATTTTCTTACCCTGAAGAAGGAATAAATTTTGTTCCGAAAACTTGATTAAAAGAAAAAGGATAACTTTTGTTTTAATTCCCTTGCACTGGTCGATTCCCAAGATTATCTAAATTTGTTAACAATAAAGTTTCTTACAACTTTTATACTAAAACTTTTTTTCTATAACGTTCTGAACCCGTGTTTAGCTAACTAAATTAATTTTTTTCGAGATCGGGCATTTTGTAATTTCGATAGAAGAATCTATGGCGAGTCGAACAAAGTATACATAGTTTACGAGTTATGACCACCTAAAACAAGTAATTTTTGTGTTATTTCTTGAAGATATTTCGAATCGGACATTTCCACTTTTGTATTGGCTTTCGAATAAGATATATTTCGTCAAAATCCAACTACTATCAAAATATTATACATGTATTTAATTGGGGACAAACTTTGTATAGGTACTTTAATTGGTTTCAATTTCCGAAAGTGTTTTGACGAAATGCATCCACATCACTATTAATTTCCCAAGAAAGATTAGCTTTCTATAAGTTCCCCTATAATCAAATAATAATAGTAAAACATTTTTTTTTTAATTTTATCTTTCAATATAACGTCCCAATATAGTCGTAACACTTCTTGACACGGCTGTTATTCGATTGATCTTGCGTTTCCTCCCGCTTTCACCTATAACATGGATATTATCGATCAAAGTACCAATTTGTCAGAGGGAATCGAGTCGCATGCCCACATCGCTATGATTAAGCGCCTCACATGTCACCGAGGAATGGTCCTGTTAAATTACAGACATTGTGGGCGACAATTAATAATCTCACAAAGACGTATCCAATGACATTCGTTTTCCTTCAAGCGGCGTACACATCGCGAGCAAGCCATACGTCGTTAACTGAAAATTTATCTAATAACGAAATAGATTTAGAGATTCTTAGTTTGGATGTAACTTTAACACCTTAAAACGTAAATCATTTGCGAGTGGACTTTCGAATGCCACGCGAAAACGCTTAAGTTATTAATGCGCTAACGCCACTGAAACATGAGCACTTCTTCGACTAGCATGCAATTTAAACCAGAAATCGTACACGAGGTCATGGGAAATCTCCAATGGATGGGTGAGGCGTTACTCTTCCATTATAATTGGCAACTCAAAATTACTTGAAAATTGTATCATAATTAAAAAAAGAATAAAAACGTAAAGAATATTTGTAAAAGTTTTATGTTCGTTTAAGTATTACGGAATGACAGGTCACGTAAAAACTTTTTCCTGCACCCGAAACACAGTCAATTAAGGTCAGCTTCGAGCGAGAGCACACGAATCCTTCAATTGATCAGTGTGCCGCATTTTTTTTATCTGTTGAACACGCGCCTGCACTGTACCATTTTAATTACGATGCCATTTTTTGTCGTTCTTAGATGTGTTTCGTGGGAGTGCCCAGGTTTAGGTTTCTATTTTCTATTTCCCTACAGGCAAAGTGGAGTAATTACCGACGGCACACTTTTGCTTCCACTACTAGACGCCACTCGTTTTGCCACCGACAAATACCTCGTTTGTCATTTAGTTTTAGCCGGTATTGACAAATTTTAACTAACTATGTAAGAACATACTCGACCCTCTGTTCTGTCACTACAACTAAAGTGACGTAGGAATTAGCGTTTGAATAGGATATAAATCCCATTGTAACATCAGTTTATAATTGCGAATATGCTTCCTTATAACTGTTGTTTCTGCGTTTGTTTAGGTTCTTGCCTGGCTGAGAAATGTGGGTGAAGAATCCTTACGGATGCAAAGGATTATACTTAGGTCGGCAGGAGATGTAGCTACAATTAAAATTGCTGAGAAGGATTTCGAAAAATTTTACTTTGACGCCATGGTAAAAAGTTTAATTAGAACCACCGCTTAATTTTAACAAAACATTATTTATTTCAGAGACAATTAGAAAAAGGTCACGACTTAATTGAAGAAGCTGCCAACGTTCCTGATCCTAAAACAAAATACGTTATCGAAGGGATGCAAAACCTTAGAGTGTTCATAAGATCTTTTAGTGAAAGACTAGAAGAAACTAGGGAAAGTTTGGAAGATTGTTCTAGGTGTTTTCAGTTACTAGAATCCTGTAGTGATATTTTAGAAGACGACAATAAAGAACAAGAAGAATTTAAAAGAATGGCTTTTAAGTCGGGTAACGAAAAATTAATTCATATTTGCAAAAACGTTGCAAGCTGTGAGGCGCTTGAATCACTAAAACCATCCGATAAATTAGATCAAAGACAAGAAATTGAAGTTAACGCCACTAGTACCCCCATAAAATCTCAAAACACCCAAATTCGAAGACGATCCGTTAGTTCTTTAGCATTCATTTACAAATGTAATCATCACGCCGCTGGGGTTTCTTGTAATTGTTGCGAATCTGATATGGAAAACACTGTGTCTTATAAATTAAAAAAGAAATACATGCAAACTTTACAAAATTGTCCATGTAAAGAAAGTTTGGAAAGAAAAAACAGTGCAACATTAGATGGTATTAAAGAAGTTCGAGAAAGCGTCGAGAATATTTTGGAAAAATTAGATAAAGAAGATAGATGCGGTCGCTGTGATAGTGGAGTCTCCACCGCTGAAAACTCCGTTGGGGATGAAAGCATTTACAAGAAAAAATTGGAAAGGAGCTGTTCTTGTCAATATTTTAGGGAAAGTTGCGCCCTTTGTAGTACGAATAGTTCTAGTACAGGATCTAATCAAGATCACACAGAACACCAACAAGATAGTATTATTGAAGAGTGCAGTGATGGATTTGTAAAAAGGTAAATTAAAATTTTTATTTATTTTTATTTTTGAAAACCAATCACCATGGTTCACACCTACGCATAATTATAACGCAATTTCCCACTCATCGTTTATTATGACCCATAACCGTAACTCACGACGCCATAAACACATCACTGACCTTCAATGACGTTTATATAGACCGTGTAATTGCGAGAACCCTTCGCAGACTATTCGTTTTCATTCTTATTGCGATTTTACGATCTTTTGAAAATGTTTGCATTCTCTAAAACCTGTTCGTCACGTTTCAAAAAATTTTTGCTATAAAGTTTTGTTTTTTTGTCTTGTAGTGGAAGCGATGATATCGAGGAGGAACACTTTGCTGAAGAAAGGAGAAAAGTGCCTCCAGTTCCGTCCAATAGCCACCTTCACTGCCACTCCTCCACGTTACATCTTCCTATGGATGGATTCGATCAAACGGATGATCCAAAAACGCAAAAGTAAGTTGTAACTTGGATTTTATTTGGTTTATAAAAATATGTACCAATTTTTTTAAGGGATTATTAATTAAATTGAATTTATGTTCGAATTAGTTTTGGTCAAACTAATTAAATAATAATAGGATAGAATGATAGAATAATAAAGGAGTGTTGTTGTTCGCATTTATTTTTGTTTTAATATTCAAAATATTCTAAAGATTCTTTAGCTTGTATTAAAAGGTAAAAGTTTGATGGGTCATGTATTAACAAGATCATTTTCATAGTTTTTTATCTTTTAATTTTTCTTAAATTTTAATAATTTCCTTTTTGGGCAAACGGAAAATTAATAAGCCTTTTAGTAATTACTAGAAATCTTATCAAGTGTTATGTGATTAACATGATTTAATAGACTAAAAAATAATAATGCATTGTATTGTCAGTGATTACGCCTTGCTGTTGCTAGTTAGAATGCTACTAATTACTTAGATACTACATAAAAACAGCTAATTAAAAAGTAAATAATATCCTAACCCACACTTAATGGCAACAGTACGATAAATTGTTTAAAGCTCCACCAACAATTATTAAAGATCTAGATAGATACATAAATAAAACATAGTAGTTGGTCATTTTATCAAGTATTGGTGCCAACTTCAATGGATTTAGAACTACGTACTTAATTTCTTCTGCTTTATTTATGAGGAGTATATTAATTGAGATTCACTTCCTAATTGAAGAATTAGATGTTATTTCGCTTTTTTATTTCTTCTGTTGGGTTGTGAAAAGACAGTCTTACAGCTGCTTCAGATTAGGTTGCGTGTCTTAATAGATTACGCCGTGTAAGTGTTACATAGTTAGAGTAATGATAATTAAGTAAGTTAAAGGATGATTTAGTTAGAGATCAATTTAATTTACTAGAATTGGTTGTTACATCAACTCAAGAAAATATAACGAAGTCGTTTCTATATCTTTAATCGAGGAGAACAATATCGAATACAAGTATCAATCCCTGACTACCTACTCAAATGCAGAAATCTTATAGCACGATGACAATGTTTGCAACGATCGTATTTTAAGATGATCGCTATTATAATCACATGCCAAAATGAATTGTCGATAGAGCGGGTAGTTAATATGGATAATTGACCAAGAACTCGCCTTTAGTTACTTGTGATGTATTTGAACTTTAGTCTAATTTTGTTTCAACCTTAACAGTAATCAAAAGTCGACACGACATGGGATAACCCCCTTCTTTGTGCAGATACTTGATATTGTGCCTTACTTGTTGAGACATTTAGATGAATGTCACATTGGCAAACTATAACATATACACAAACCAATGACTTAATCTAGAAATTCTAATAGTAAACTCTCGGAATAGTAAGAGTTGAACTGCCATGTCGTGCAATTGCAGTACTTATAGTCTACTGGATGGAATGTTTAAATTGATTGCCATTTTGTTGTAGACACATCTAAATGCGGTTTAAATAACTATTGCTCACATAACATGACACCATAGGTGTTATTGCTTTGTTGTTGGTCCTGTTCAGTAACAGGACACTGTAGATTTGAGATGGGAAGAAAACGTCCAGTGGTGTGAAAACTGCCGGCTAAGCGATCATTCCATTGAACTACTTCGCAAAATCTAGCACCTACCTAAAACTTCTTTCAGCAATTCATGTAAAGTGCGAAATGTGGTAGTGCTTCTATGGCATAAAACATGCTCAACCGTCTCTGCTTCCTGCGCACATAGTCGGCATTCAACATTGTCGGTTAAACCTAACAAGTTAAGGTGTGCTTTTAATCGACAGTGCCCAGTAAAGATACTCATTAAAACTTTTATGCTTCTACGAGCAAGTCCTAAAGTGTTCCCGGGTTTGACAGTGGCAATGTTAATAAACACTTTAGCATGTCTTATTCCAGGAGAACTGGTCCACAGTAGGCGAAGTCTCTCTTCAGACTACAGTCCAATCCTATATCTGGCCATCGCAAATGATACACCAACAGCTTATCTTTTATCTAAGGGCTGGTTATCCAAATAGGGGTGTGAACTCCAGATGCTCTCTGTACGGTTCAATAGCTAGCTTGATGTAGACAAATCACACCACATATTTAATAACGTGTCATTCTGATGATAAGAATTTATTACACAGCATGCATAGACAGGCTTCATTGCTGAAAAGAATATGAACTCCAAGATGTGGCTGGTGAATTGACCTTTTTGTCAGTCACAGAACTGCACCCTATCAATCTATCTGTATCATCGCCATGATGTTCTTGGATAAAATGCACGCGATCTTGAAATATTTTTTAGCTAATATCCTGAATACGTTTCATTTACTGTCAGTTTAGCTAGTACGCTAGCCGCGGTTGCATGATCTGTCATTCTTTAGTAAAGATGCTATCTATTGTCTTAAACGAATCTAGGAAACGACCAATGGTTAAATGATGTGTGCATGTGTGGGTGGTTGATATGGATCCCGTCTGTGATATTACTCGCTAGCTTTCCGTAACTCATGGATAAAAACCATTTCCACTCTTTCCTGAATTTTGTAAAGGATCATTGTTGTTGAAAATTGAAATAAATTGAAAATATACAACAATCAATATGTGATCGTGATTTAAAACTAGTTTGTTCTATGTTGTTAAATTACGCATCGAAGATACTCATAATGGTGATAGCGATATCGGAAGTATGTAGTAACTATCTACAGTAGGCCTCTAAAACGTTTGAACACAAATCCTTTGACAATTAGGGGAAAACATACATGTTAAAAAGGGAATATTCGGAGTGGTTCTGATCACGATAAGATTCTATGGCCTTTGTGGTCATCTTTTGGTAGTAGTGTCGGCCCCTCGCAAATCTTTTTGTATTATGGAAATCTATTTTATAATATCGTTCGGTGTGGTAATGTTTTCTGATTGCTGATCCCTTTAACGGAGGAAGGTTATCCCTTGGTAGTGGCAATGCGTTCCGTTTTGAATAAATGATGTTAAGGAATACGAGAACAAGATGAACATTCTATTGAATCCAGACACCTACGGGATATTTAAAAAAAAATCTCTGGGATAAAATAGTTAGGACGATGAAGAACCTAATTAAATCGACAGATATTCCACCGCAGGAACAGAAAAGCCTGTTTGTACAAGAATCAATAGCACCAAGGACCTCTCAGTCGACCCAATGCGACCTATAAGATGCATCGCAAAGGTGTATCTTATAGCTGTCCAAGAATTAGGGTTCTCATTAATTGTGGCAAACAGTGTGGTGTGTAGTTATTACATTTAGAATCAAATTTCTATGTTAAATAAGAAAAGGAAAATTTATTTTGGAAACAATATCTAATCATCTACTATCTACTCTTTTGTACTAGGATAATTCATGGAAGATAGTAGCCGTGCCATCAGTATCTTCAGTATTTTGAATTATTCTATTTAAACGAAAACCACATACATATTTATAATATTGTCATTAATTATACAATTAATTCATTGGGTAACTATTTGTGCACTCACAACTAAATTGAAATAGCATTGGGTTGATTTAATTTTTTGTTGGAATTAGTGAAATGGTTGTTGAGAAAATTTTTGATATCGCTTTAGTATTGAACCGCTTTAGTTAATTATCTAGTAACATAAATATATATAGTTTGCTATACCCACGAAGTGGTGTGTTCACCATGAAATCCCTAAGGTAATTCAATCAAAATATCCAACGCTCCAGTTAGCTGTTAGAAATATTGGTTATGTTAAGATTTATTCATGAGATTGCATGATCTATGAAGTACACGAATACAGTGTGGTTAAAGGTTACACCATTTTCTGTATTTGTATGCTTATTAATGTATAGATAATTGAAAGACAAATAAGTAGTATCTCTAATAAACTAATAAATTAATCTTATTTGATAGAAGTATGTAATATAATTTACAACCGTTTGTCCAAAAAATGTTGTGCCCAACTTGGCCGCGATTTATCGTTGAATTGTATCAAATTCTCAAAAAGTCTACGATAAACCACGGTATACAAATAACTATTTGCTAAGAACACATTAACATTTAAATAATTATTACATTAAATAATTTTTTTACCATAGGACTCTGTTGTATATAATGCGAGAAATGATTCAAACCGAACAAGACTATGTAAAATCCCTCGACTATGTGATAGAAAATTATATCCCCGAATTACTTCGAGAAGATATTCCCCAAGCTTTAAGAGGTCAAAGGAACGTCGTCTTTGGAAATATCGAGAAAATTTACGAATTTCACAGTCAACACTTTCTCAGAGAACTCGAGCAATGCGAAAGACATCCTTTGAACGTCGGTCAAATCTTTTTGAAATATGATAAGAAATTTTATTTGTACGCACTCTATAACAAGAATAAACCAAAATCGGATTCTTTAATGTCCGAATATGGAAGTACTTTTTTCAAGGTAACAATTACTTAATTCTTTTCTTTACTAAACTTAATTTATTAATTTATTTTTTAGAGTAAACAAATTCAACTTGGTGATAAAATGGATTTAGCAAGTTATTTGTTAAAACCTGTTCAACGAATGGGAAAGTACGCCTTACTTTTACAACAATTAATGAAAGCGTGTCCTGAGTTACCACCTGGAGCTTCTGAAAGAGCCATCGCTGAACAAGATGATTTAAAACAAGCGGAGCAAATGGTTCGTTTTCAATTAAGACACGGAAACGATTTACTTGCAATGGATTCAATAAGAGAATGTGACGTAAATCTCAAGGAGCAAGGTAGATTATTACGACAAAACGAATTTATTGTTTGGGAGGGAAAGACTGGAAAGAAAAGCCTCAGACAGGTGTTTTTGTTTGAGGACTTAATACTGTTTAGTAAAGCTAGAAGGTTTCCTGATAGAAAGGTTTTTTTTTTTAAATTAAAATTTGTTTTAATTATTGAGATTAATTTTCTTTTTAGAACCTTGATTTGTACATATATAAAAACAGTATAAAATGTACCGACATAGGATTAACTGCGCGTATAGGTGAAAGTTCGACAAAATTTGAAATATGGTTTCGAAAAAGAAAACCAAACGATACTTATACTTTACAATCGAATTCCGAGGATATTAAAAAAGCTTGGTCTGAAGAATTATCGCAATTACTTTGGAAACAAGCGATTAGAAATAGAGGTTGTTTCTATTTTCGTTTGATTTATGTTTTATTATTAATTTATTAATTTTTAGAAGTAAGAATGGCAGAAATGTCTTCTATGGGTATTGGAAATAAGCCATGTTTAGATATAAGACCAAGTGCGGACCAAATAAACGATCGTTCAATTAGTGTTGCTCAGTTATGTAGAAGTAAGTTTAAAAAAAAATTATTGCATATTTAAAAAAAATTTAATAATAGAAATTTTAGCTGCGCCAAGATTTAGAAGTTCTGTATCTGGATCTGGAACAGATTCTTGTAGAAGTTCAAAACGACCACACTCTGTAATATCAATGTCTAGTGTATCAACAAGCAGCAGTTCAGGGAGTTCAGCAGCTTCGAATAGTACAGCAGTGAGTCCAGGGGCTTTGCTATCGACTTCTTTCGATTCATGTCCCAGTCCAAAACCTTACCATAGATCAGGAACACTCAACAGTCAATGTTCAACAGGTACCTAAATAAAACAGCTTTCGATTTAATTTTTTTTTAAAGTGTTGTGTTATTAACTAATTCATCTGTGAATATTTGTTTCTTCCGCAATAATTTTCCTCCGCTTTAAAGAGTGTTCTAAGAGTGTTGTTTTTCTTCTCTAAATTTTATAGAGAGCGGAATCATCGCAGACATTTCCTTAGGTCCGGATGATTTATCGAACGAGAACCAACACAATTTACATTGGCCATTGGAGAAGTCCAATTCTCAACATTCGAGCGTTTCGCAAAAATCGGATGACACGCAAATTCCGAATTACGCAGAGGACACGACGATTAACGTTTAAGAAATAACACGAACTATAAATATACGCTTTTCGAATTTTTTGATACGCCCATTTTAGCGAATTGTACATACGATTTATATATAAATATATATATATGCAGAGTCTTTCGAGATATATCCATATCGAAAACTATTTTTATTACGTAATTTATTTTCCCACGCCTATTTATAAAAGAAAATAAAAATAAAATTTATTATAGATACAATTAAAAAAAAAAGACCACTAACATGTTCACTTCACACATACAACTTAATTAATTAAATATTAATTATACAATAGAGTTTTTATTTAATTTTTACCACAAATTAATGTAACACATACAGCTTTAATCGTCATATTTTTCGTTTTATTATTTTTTTCGTGTTGTAGATATACATCAGGGACGCAATGTATAGATAAAAAGCAAAGTTATTAATTATTATCATTATTGTACATGTTACGCAAATCAAGGACCACGACATATTATGCGTATAAATGCAGTATTTATAATACTTAACGCGACAGTATAATATAGAGCATGTTGTTCTTTTAACTGCATTCTAGTTATTATGTACTAATAATGTTTTATTAATCATTATGGATCTTATTATTGTTTTTGTCCGAAAATAAAAATTAAAAAAAAAAGAAAATAAATCGTGTAGAGTTATGATCATAGAGTATATATGTTATTAATTAAAAATCTTATTATGTAAGAGCATGTATGATTTTTATATACTGTATCGAATATACATAGTCAATAAATATAAATATGTATAAAAAACTTCTTTTAATTCCAACTCAAATATTTAATAATACAATTAAAACGAAAACTCAAAAATACTGAGACTTTCTTTACCTTCCACAGAATATTTGATACAACTCCAATAGATGGCAATACCTTCCAATAACTTATATATAATTCAAAATGTTCATTATCCCGTTGTTCATATTGCTGTTAGATCACAAGCTGTTATTATCGAAAATCCGCAAATGAGTAATTTACGGGAGGCGATTTAGAGAGCGGTCAGAATTTGGCCATATTATCACTATTACAGTACAAAAGAGTCGTTAATAATGAAAGTATTACAATGAGCGGCGTTCAAATTCAGAATTGAATCGTAATTGTGCGCCCGCTGACGCGCGGAAAGTAATTAAATTCGTTTGTACGCGTACACCCCTCCCCGATTCGTAATAATAATAATAGTAATAACAGCGATGAGATTTCCGTTTATATCCCGTCCGTTATTAGATCTACATTTGGGCTATTCGCCAACTAGAAATTATTTCCAAATTGTTTTATCCATGAAATTGAACATATCATTTTCCGATTCACAATTTAATAGTTCATTGAGATTTTAAAAATTGGTTTGGGATTAGTTGTAGAGTTCCCCTTAGAAAATGTTGAACGTGTGATATTAAAGCTGTTGTTTCGGGGAAAACGCGTTTCTACCGTCCATAATCACGTTTCGAGATTTATACGAGACGTCCACCGCATAAATCATTCGAGAGATACGAAGAAATCTCGAAAAAATACGTTTATATATAAGCGGCGGTAGCGAGAAGGGGGTCTCGGTTTCCGTAATTGCCGCAGATCCGGCGGCGGTCGTGATGGATAAGGCCTCATTTCGTGTTAAATATTCAAAACCCAGGCGGCTCGACGTGAATTATGTGCCCGCCGTAAACGGAGAACCGACCAGAAATAGATGCGAAGATGCGAACGAGTTGCTGACGACTCACGAACGCGACCGACAGCATTTTTAAACATCTTCCTTGTCTTTGGAGCAAAAAACAACCAAACGAAGTTTTAGAATTTGCGAAAATTCGCTTCCCCGCCACCGGCTGGAGTGTTTTCAACCTTGCAACCTACCACCGCGTCTCTTTCCGCCAATTTTAATGCATAGCTAAGTATGCAGTTTGCTCGAAGGGTTGGCCTCAAAGGGGCAATACTGTTGCGCTTGGAAGCCAAAAACTCTGTGTACAGTTTTCTACTAAGAATTTGAAAGCTAGGAAAAATTGGACGCTGTGTTACAAGTAAATTTTAATCTTTCATAAATATGTCCCAACTTAGAAGTTAACTATAAGAATCTAATTTTATGATTGAATCAGTTTTTTGTTGTATTGTTTTTGCCTAATAAAACTGTGAACTACTATGAAAATGACAAATTAAGCAAATTGTTAATATTCGTTTTCAATGTTTCCTACTCGATAATTCGGCATCATAACATTTTTCAAACTGGCAGATTACCGAATGTGCCGGACTACTGCATATTATCGAGAAAAAAGTTTTACTATAAGAGAAAACAAACAAAATAATCATCAATACTGTATTAAACCGTTTACAAGTTTAAAAGTAAATGTAAAATAGTTATAAAAAGAAATGATTATGTTATTTACATGTTATTTGTTAATGACGTATCAAGGAATTTGTCAATTGTTTTTTTTACAATAATAGATTTTATGGAGTATATTTTCTCTCAATTTCCTCAGTGTTAGTAGAATATCTGCAGATTGTTTATCGTCTTCGGCCGAAAAGATATTGAGATCAATATCATCAATCGCCTTTAATGCGACCTCAGATTTCACAGAGTTCACTTGAAGTTTGGAGGCAACCTCTTCTACATTACCATTGCCTGATTCGTTACTGATCACTTCATTTATTAATGTAATCATAATCTTCTGCAAACCAGTCGTCTATTTTTTAGTATACTCTTCAACTCTGCAATTGAGAGGTCGTCTTGTAAATCCCATTCACCTTCTACTTCATTGTTATTTAATGATGGCCACAACTTCTTCCAAGATGATTGTATTATTCTGTCAGGTACACTATACCAAGCCTCAATCACGGTGAATCTTTTAAATTCATATTTTTTAACATTTTAGCGACATCATCTTCTCGCAAAACAGCATTGACCAGGATTTTTTTTGTAATTAGTCTTTATCATTTGGATCACATTCTGGTCCATCGGCTGAAGCAGAGGTGTACAATTAGGAGGTAAAAAAGTGTTTGTATTAGAACATCTCTTGAAGCTAAATTTTCATTAGGCCCGTGTGCAGGTGCGTTGTCTAAAATAACAAGCGCTTTCGGCGGAAGATTTTTGCTCTTCAAAAAACGTCGTACTTCACTACATAATCATTATGAAACCTTTCTACGAATACTTCTTTGGTTACCTATACTTTGTTTTGGTTTTTGTATACGAGTAGAAGATCAGCATTTTTAAAAGCCCTAGGTGATGTCGTTTTCCCCACCAATAAAAGCTTGAGTTTATGCGTACCATTAGCATTGGCACTAGGCATAATCCTCTATCCTTGGCTACTTTCCTGTCTGATGCTTCTCGCTCTTCTCTGGAAACGTATGTTTTGTTTGGTAAAACTTTCCAGAACAATCCACTTTCATCGGCATTGCAGACTTGATCGGGAATTAAATTAACATCATGAACCTTTTTCCTGAACTGCTCGATAAATAGAGCAACAAGACAGCTTTTCTCCAGTTAAGGTCAATATTCTAATTCCATATGTTACCTTAAATTTTTGAAACCAGCCATCACTTGCTTTAAATTCCTTATTCTTATAGATTTTCCCGTAAAAAACCAAAGCTTTTTGTCGTATACTATCTCCCGTGAGAGTCTTCTTACAGCTCCGTTCTTCAAGAACCCAAGAATATAAAGCATCTTCCATAAGTGGGTATTCTCCTGTTTTCATTGTTTGGCGACCGCTCATTCCCGAATCACTTTGTTTAACACAACATTCAATTTTTTCACGATTTTTTTTATGTTGTAAATTGTCGCAAGACCGACATCTTTTGTATTCACCAGCCAACTTCACCTGACTTCCACCGGAATCCAATTTTTTTTAAATTTCTATTTCTTGAAGTAGAGTTAACGTTTCGTGCTTCCGTTTTCGTGATTTACCTTCCATTTTGATATAGGTGCATAAAAATCATGTAACGCACACGCAGTAACAGAAACTCGTGGGAATCCCCTATTACTGACTATTCCAACCTTGTTACGAAATAATAAACGTGTCGAATTATAGAACGTAGAATTTTATGAGTGCCGGATTATAGAGTTGATTATAAGAGTTTCAAAATACCGGATTACTGAACGTGTCGGATTAGCGAATGCCGGATTAACGAGCTTGTACTGTATTTCTCGTCTCTAGGTACTGCTTAGGACGAACTGCTCTGCACACGTTGAAGGTAGTGAAAGTAGTGTTATACTAAAGTCGTATATATGGGCCTTGACGCGTTCAGTACCTCGTTATCTACAAAAGCTCTCGTTCAGCTTGAATCGAACTGATCGCTACCTGGAGAGTAAACCAAGTGGTTACAGTTCTTTCGCGGTACACCATTATTTATTATACAGGTGTTCGTCCGATACAATTGCCACTGATTTTACTTGCACCCTAAGGTCAGTAAATATCGAAAGATCATAAAACCGTTATAACAAAAAACAAAAAGAAACATTTCAATTAACTACAAGAATAACAAAATTGCACATTACAAAAATATATCAAACACTCTTTTGCGTAAAACAATAAGTTTGGATGCACGAGCCGAGCTGGATCACCTTGCAAAACCGGAAATCGAATTCCACAAACAAGCAACCTTGTACGAAACTGAAAATTGCAATTTTCAGGACCTATGAGACGAAATATTTAAACAAAATCTGTGGCGGAGTTTAAGTTATGAAACAAAACTGATGGCGCTGTCAGGTCTAGGCATGTCACGATAAGATCTGGCTGAGCTTGATTTTGCACTGTTCGTCGTGTGCAAGCTTGTACGTGTGGAGACAGTTCATGCCACTCTTCTCAGGTTTAAATTGATCTTCACAAGCGTATTATTCAAATATGTTTACAAAATGGCTGTTCGTAAGCAAGAAAACGTTATAACTTGCCTTTGGAAAGTGAAAAGTAGTGAATATATGGATAGAAATAAAAAAAAGAAAGGATGAAGGTTACCAGCTGCTAGCGGAAGCTTTAAGCAAATATCAAATATCAGCCATTCTACAATTTTCACACTGTCGATTCTCAACGAGGCACCCCATTATCAACCGGGCAATATTATTCACAATTTTCAAGTAAATAATGTATAGTATTATTTTTAAATAAAGAACTGTAGAAAGCTTTATCTATTTTATTTATTCGTACAGTAGGGTTAAGATACATAAGGACACTATGCATGATAACGAAACAGTGTCATGTATCTACATTTTCAAAATTAACATTTCCACTATTCTTGGTATGTAACACGATCATGTTGCAAAGCACGCGCCCATCATCAATAAAGTACCAAACAAAACGTTCTCGGATAGTTTTTGCATTCATGCGCAAATAATTCCTATATTCATCGACTTCTAATCGTAATTCGTTTAGTAAATTCGCGTGAGAATACTGTTTCTGTTTTTTCAGCCAATTTTTTACCCATCTTGATAATTTATAATTCTTTCGCTAAGTCATCTTTGAAGATTCAGGGCAATGTTCCCTGTGATTCTTCAATGTTAGCGCTAATGATCTGGGAAATCGAAGCGCTTCTAATTAATAATAATAATGAAATTTACTTTTTCTGCTAATATCAATATCAATACAATAAAGAGTTCATTTTGAGAATTTTTGATTTGTTACTAAAAACAGTTTCAGTTACATTTGATTTCGTTTCGAATTATGTTTTTTGATATATTGCATCACTGCTAAAAGGCTGTTTTTTCCACAATCTCGAAATTCTAACAACTACCAAGGTTTCGAGAGGATTGATCGAGAGTGGAACCCGACATACATGAGAAGTTCAAAACTGTCGTGGGGTATTATCCACTGGATAAGTAAAAATCGATATTGCAAGGTGACGAAGGACCGCCTTGTTATCGCTTGAAAAACGTTGTACGTGTATTTGTCTCTAATACTACGCGAAATCGGTTGTGGGGTGTTAGGATTATTGACGAAAGCGAAAAGCTGATGAATTAATGGGTGAAAGAGAGAGAGAATCCAGATTTTAACAGGGGAAACAGTAGAAGGATAAGATTGTGGAATTGCAAAGGGATCGAGAGATTGAATGAGAGGGGACGAATGGAGAGCATTGTAGAAAATCGTGAACAGTAACAAAGCGGTTAAAGATAGAGGAGAAATTGTGGGGGACATATTTGAAAAATATTCTGTAAGATGGAAGGGTGAATAATAGTGAAGTGTATGAATGTAGGTACAAGTTGGTACTGATTACATAATGATAATTAATATACATGATAATCGATAAGTAAATGAATGAAATTATTGCAACTTTGGACCGAATGAAACCGTAAAAAACACATAGTGGGAAAGAAATTATAGTGATATGAATAGATGTATTAATTATGAAGAAAGAAATTTCCCACTTGTGTGGAAGATGGCAAACGTTGTGTGGCACTCGAAGTCTAATGGTGTTTCAGCCAAATTACTCCAACGGCAGTAAAAGTAATAAGGCGATAAGTTGACAACTTGGCTTATGCACACAATTGATATTGCAACCAGTTCTCAGTATTATAGTATTTTCTAATTAATATCTTTTACTTTATGTTATAACAAATTGTTTTTTATTTTTGATAATAGTAATTCTTGAACTGTGTAGGTGCCAGATTCTTCATAGTTTTTACTATTACGATGTATTGTTCTTGATGTTCATATATCAATTAATTTTATTTACAATTCTTAAACAATTCTTTTTTTTTTGCATGTACATATCCGGAGGGAACACAAATATCGCGTAATGTCATGAGTTTTCTTAATTGATGCTGAACTTTTATTAATTGATATAATAAAAATTAATTAACCTATATATATATTATAGTAGGGTATTATTGGATTCATATGTTTAGCTCTATGAAAAACGGTTAGTTATATTAACCATTAACATTTTTTCGAATCTTTTTTCAGGATCCAACCGTTTATAATTTATATAAGCTTGAAATAAAGAGTTTTTTTCGGATTAATATTTGTCTTGTTTTCCTTTATGGATTCAGCTGGAATGGCGAACGGTATTATTGTGCTTTCCATCGTTCCCTGGAATAAGTTGAAGAATTTTTGCTGGATAGTTTGCGAATCTTGAAGCCTTTTGTTTGTTATTTCTGGGCCAGCTACCGTCTTTATTTCTGATCGGAGACATATAATCTCGATATTTATTATGTTATATGTATAATAAGTTTATATATAAAACATCAAATCAAATTGAATTATTTAATTGTAGATATTAATCTTATATCTCCTTTTAGATCAATATCATTGTTATTTACTCATTCATTGTTTATTAATTTTATAATTATAACCTTGACAGTAATTTTCCTTCGAGTTTTAATCTGTTTTAAGAGTTTAAACAACTGATTTAAATCGGTTGAAACCTTAATTTAATTTTATGTTGTCAAAAATTTCTCTTTGCGATCGATTTCATACTTGTTATCTGATTGTTTGCTTAATAGATCTTGTTAGATTTTTAGTAAACCTTCATAGCGAATATTCGGTACAGGAGTTATTAGTAAGTTGTACTATATGGAACTTTACTGTTGGTACCATTTTTAACTGTTTAATTTCATTTTTCAATTGAGATGTTAGATTGTTCACTTTTGTTTTGTCTTGTGGGGGCCTGGACCGCTGCCATGTCTTCCTCCTCCTTCATATTTCTTACATCAGTTGTAGGATTTCTTTATTATAATTATTGTTTTTTAAATTTCTCCTCATTTCTGGGGATTTGCCACACTGAGTTCCTTTGATATTCTTTGAGTATCTTTCAGCTTTTCCACTTCAGAATCTAATTGTACTTCGGTCTTTAGGGGTCTGTGGGGCTGTCAGAGTTATATATTATATCGTTTATTGTTATTTTCGTATACAATTTACAAATCAAACAATACAATAGCTACAGTAATTAAAACTAAACCTCACTAGCTCCCATTCCATACCTCCCTCCCTGAAGTCGTTACATCTCAACATATTGTTTCCCAATCATCCCCACACAATCAACACATCCTTTCTTCATCCTCCATCCTATCCACCCTCTCTTCCTTCCCTCCTCCATCAAATATCCCGAAATGACTGTCAGAGTCATTCTTCTTTCTAACATTATTTTGAAGCATTCCCAGTTTTTTTGTTAGCCAGACGGGGATTGCTCGATATTGAGATAATGTGTCCTTCTCATCAACTTCTCTAAGTTCACTTGGAGAAGGTTGGTAGAAATATATCAGATCCGGAATTTTATCTGGGTCTGTTGCCCAATACGTAGAGTTGCCTGTTGAGGTAGTTTCACATCCTTATGTTAGCAAGGAAACTATGCATCCTAGCATAGTCCAGAGAATGCCTTTTAAACTATAGTTGAGAACTATGCTAGAGAATGCCTTCAGTAATAAGTAGTGATTAACTTCTATCGACAGTGTGATTTGCATTTTACAATTTTGATTACTATTTATAAACACCACGATGAATCAATTACCTATTGCTTGAAGGAACTGTTCATATGTTTCACATTTGATATTATGTTTTAGAGGAGTATATAAACTAACCACAGTTATACTGCCATTTCTGGTTTTAATAGTTTTCGCAGTCGCTTGAATATCTTTCGCTTCTATTTTAGCATCTTCAAAATGAGGACTATTTTTGTTATTTATTACTGCATTTTACTCTTTTGATGCATTTTCTGCGTGATTTGTGGATTAAACTCTAAAACTTGTAAATTTGATAAATTATTGTTTAGTAAAACGCGGTTTCGATATCAGGCACACATCTACCTTATTTTGAATTGAAGGTTATTTTGAAGTTGACGAACATCGAATTAGTCTCTTTTCAGAGTACATTGGAAAGCATGGAAAGAAAAGTTAGTGGTGGAAAGTTCCTTGTATGAAGAAACAGAAGCTTTATTGTATGGTTCTGGAATTACAGACGAGTCGATAAATTATTGCAAATTGAAAAACATCACTTTTTGTTACAGCATCAAGGTTCGAACATTGGAGTGTTGCACTCAAATAATGATCTCGATATTTATTATGTTATATGTATAACAAGTTTATATATAAAACATCAAATCAAATTGAATTATTTAATTGTAGATATTAATCTTATATCTCCTTTTAGATCAATATCATTGTTATTTACTCATTCATTGTTTATTAATTTTGTAATTATAACTTTAACAGTAATTTTCCTTCGAGTTTTAATCTGTTTCAAGAGTTTAAACAACTGATTTAAATCGGTTAAAACCTAAATTTAATTTTAAGTTGTTAAAAATTTCTCTTTGCGATCAATTTCATAGTCACCCGACTTCTTATCTGATTGTTTACAAAGTCAACTTTAAAATTAATTAGCGACCTCCACGGTATGCCAGTGTGAGGAACTCCCGTATACTGCGGACATTCAACGTGGTGTATCCGCAGTGTAGACGATTTACGTGGTAACGCATACACGTGCCCCTGCAACCCAAACGGGATGTAAACACAACCCGTGGACCAACCTCGAAACGACGACGACCGCGCTAGATTTAATAAGTTTGACGCTCACTTTTCCGCACGGCTAAAGCCGGTGCCACCGTGCAAACACCCCACATATATGAATATGGGGTGGTCGCAATTAACGTAGTACACGTGTGCCATCTTCCAACAGTGTCATGGACGCGTCCTATGAGATCGCCACGAAAGTGCATCGTTAAGAACACCTGGCTAATTTTGTCTTGGTACGTTCTTGTATACTGAACAAGTAAAATGATGCTTAAATTACTTCAAAAATTTTCAAATTAAAAAAATTTAAAATGCCAAGGTTATAAAATAATTATGTTAATTTAATTTTAATATGTTCAAACATCCATATCCGTTATTTCCACATTTTTTTTTTCTCACAGACTGCTAATTATAAATATTTATCACGTCTTCCAAAGGTCAAAACGGTATCAGTTTGTCTTTAAATAAACGAAAATAGGTTAAGAAATAGACTAAAAGTCGTGTCAATATTTATTATTATTTTGTTGTTACACAGGAAGACTTTCTTTTTCATTTTGAGGGTCCATTCGGAGATCAATCGTTTGTTGTCGTTTTCTCGTCAAACCGTGATTTTTGTTGTAAAGACAATAATGTTGAGCCATAAAGAAAAAGTCAAATAAAAGTGATAAAACTCCTAACCACAGTTTCGTTGGATTTTCTAAAATCCATTCCCATTTTTCTAGAAATAATAAAGTTAGACGTAAATTTTTGATGTTAAACAAATCTTATTTACCGTAATTGTAAGCATTCAAAAACATTTGCAAAGTACAAAATATTCCACCAGCAACATCTAAAAGAACCATTCCTATACTCCAACCATCCGTGCTTTTTCTTTGGTAATTCATAATGGCTTGAGGACCATATTTACAAATCGTAACGGTCAATTTTATGTACGACATAATGTATAAGAAATCCAACCATAATATATAATTAACGAAACATAGAATCATTGTAACCACTGTGATTATCCCGGTAACAACATGAAAAGCGTAACCGAACCAGGAAATTGTTTGGTCACCTTTATCGTACCAAAAACATTGGAGGCATGTGTATATTGTAAGAATTAAAGCATGAATTGTAAAAAAAATATCGTTTGGTAGGACGGAAACTATACTAAAAGGGTATCTTTCAGCATATTGAGCCTAAAAAAATAGGAAATAGGAAAAATATATAAACTTAATTCAAAAAACTTACCCTAATTTCAGGAATGTAGTATAATCCCAAATTAAATGCTGCATAGCAAACATATCCTGTTAGATTTATTACTAAAAAGTCGAAGTTTAAACCTATAACACTAAAAAAATCAATTTGTTAAAAATGTTTTTTTTTTATTAAAAAATAAATGCTTTTAATGATAAGTAGTAAACATTTTATAATTTCATACCATACACCTCCACAACAAATTGATCAAATTGGCATAAATAATGGTGATGAAAGTGGCATCTTGTTAAATGTGGCACATAAAGGATAAAGTTAAGGTTTTCTTGAATGATTAATGCTTTGCGAACCTCAGTTTATTTAAAAGTCAAAAAACGACTTGCAATTAACGAATTATGAATTAACAATGCACAACAAATAGAATTTTGGATATCAGGGTGTCGACATAAGCAAGAGCTGCAAACAACCACAGTAATGGCAAAAATAACAAGCAAAAGTACAACATATAAGAAAACAGCTGGTAGAAAAGACGATCATGAATGAGCGATAGTAGAATAGCTCAGAACTTATCCACAAAGACCTTATACCTACAGAGACTTAGTGAAAAAATATATGCAAATCCGATTCAACAGGCACAAATTAAAATATGTATATCAATTGCGGTCGAGGAAGCCGAAGAATACAAAACCCACTAGAGGTGGGTGGTTCAACTAGAGATGAAAGGATTAATAAATGAAAAATAAGTATATCTAGGGTACAGATCTCAGTCCATAACACTTGAGGAATAGAAACCATAGAAGAATGAAAAATCTAACCCGGAAATAACTATTTTGTTTTATAATAAAGCTAAATTTAGCTTTAATGTCGTCAATAAACTTTGTGAAAGCTACAACGTGAGCAGATCGACGAGAAAGATTCTTACAGATGGTGATTTTTAGTCACCTGTTGAATGTAGTTCCAATAAATTCAAGAGAAATTTTCCTGCTTAACAATAATGTATTGTATTTGAAGATATTGCTTCCCCTTTGACTTATAAAACATGCTTGAAAAATATAAATCTCCTATTGTTAAAGAGCAGAAATTCTAAGGTCGATTCAACAATAGCCAAACAACAACGCATTTAGCGATATTATTACTTTATGTTATAATTACTGTTAGCAGAAGACCACAAATGAGTTGTAGAAGACAAGACTACTTACTCCTTGCAGAACATTGTCTAGATTCTGCTGATAAAAGATTAACCCTAGAAAGATAGTCATGTTGTGATGTACGTAAAAGATAATGATGTTTAAGATTGACCTATGAGTCAATATGAAACAATAAATACCACAATGTATATCTCCATGGATGGAGAAGTGTGTTGTTGTGGTCGATTCGAGATTTCATCCATTCCTCCTGTTGGGTCCTTTTGGAAAGGGGCAAGATCTCTTACCATGATATCTTACCAAGATCTCACCTAGCATCTTCAGTGCGTTGTCGTTGTCTCCTGTTTGCAGACTACGACAACGCGCTATATTTATTTATTTATATAAAAAAAACAGAAACTTTAAGTGCGTCAATTTGACTCAGACTATCTTTCTAGGGTTAAAATAGAGTTAAATACTTTTAAATAGAAGACTAGATCATGTAATCATATCTAAATATATGTACAAAGCTAGATACTGTTAATAGAAAACTGGAAAATGCTTTCAGCACACTACTTATCTTTTACAGATGGAGAAATATTCCCCTTATATGTAAAAGACAAAATACAACTTACAGAAGGCTAGACTGCTAAAGGAATTCTTGATACTGGCAAAGGAAATCTTTATTGTGCTTGTAAAGGACCAAATGATTCAAGCACAAGACAATACATTTCTTGTAGGTTACTAAATAATGCTAATGGAAAACTAGACTGCCAATAGAAGATTAGATATATTTTTGTATTAGACTGTTCGAAGAGGACAAGATACTGGCAATGAAATACTGGATACGGCTAATACAGACCTAGAAGTTGCAAATAGAAGACTAGATGTTGTCAGACGACTAAATCCTGCTTGCAGAAGATTAAATACTATATGCAAAAAACTAGATTCTGCCAATAGAAGACTACTGACAAAGAACTAGTAATTGCTGGCAGAGGGCTAAATACTTCTTACAGAACTCTACATACTTCTAATAGAAGACCTTGATATTCTCATCGTAAGCACATATATGGTTAATATAGCCCACAGTAAGGTTAGATGTAAGATATAAGACATTTAGATGTAAGACGGCTCCGAGTACCAAATATGCTGCAGCAGTTTTATAGACATAACGACTTTCGTTTCAAGTGTTTACTTTATATGTGTTGTATTATTATGAAATATGATGAAAAGTACATAGTTATCAATTCATGTTAAAAATTGAGCTTAAACTTGGCGTGTTTCAATTAAGCTTATTTATTATTGGAATTGAATATTAAAAAAATATTTCTTACCTTTTTCTTTTGTAGTTTTCCCAAATTTGAGGATAAAACGATATGGACCAAGCTAAAAAGTAAGCCCAACCCATAATCAATGATATAACTTCAACCGATTGATTTTTATAGACTTGAACCCGTATGAAAGCTTGATTCGAGCTATCAACAAAAAAATATGTAAATAATAATTTAAAAAAAATTAATTATAATTTACCTTGATGATTCGTTTGTAAATAAAAGAGTTTCTCCTGCTTTAAGAGCACGTATACTAACATTTTGAATTTTAAAATCATTCTCTGTATCATTGGGGTCTCCATAAGGAGTTACTTCTAATATTCCAGTATGTTCTACAATAAATCTTATGTTTGTATCTGTTAAATTTCTGGAAAATAAAAATTATAAGCATTTTAGTAATGAAAAAAAATAACAAAGGCTTTTTCTTTTTATTTAAGGAGTTTATCAGTTGAACTTAGATAAATTTAAAATTTTTATATTACTTTTAACGACCAAACCATTTATTACAACGGTAATTAATTAAATAGCATTGTTGTGTTGTCTGGGTAATTTACGTTAGGAAAACAATACAAATTGCATCAGACGGAAACTGAAAATTATTTCCGATCGATTTAGAAGCGGTTCGAATCAAAATTATCGTATAGATAACAAGAGTGTAAATCCCCTCAAGGGACAGCGGATACAAACCGAAAATTTAATGAGGGTTATTTTTGGAGCTGTTTTGATTTGATTAGTATGGTAATTGGATAACTGAACCGAATGGTACACCTACAAATTTGTTGTGCGCACGTGCCACAACCGTCCACCCGTATTGTATGCAATTCATGGATGTAGATTCTTTTGAAAAGTAGTACCTGAAAACTTGTTTACCACGGCCTCCGCTCAACTTGCCGTTTGAGTATTAAGTCTGAAGCCCCTTTACGGGGGTTTTCGCAATGGCAGATCAAAGTATGGTAAAAGCGGGCTGCAAGTTCCTGTTAAATCGCACCCCGCCGAAAAAGGAGGTCCATAAACACAAATGGTTTCTGTGAAGTTTCGCAAAAGGTTCCCTTCCTCATTCGTAATAGGAACTGCACCGCGCTTACATTATACTCTGGCATTTAGCCTGGTTTCTAAGACCCCGTGCGTATTTAAAAATTCAAACGAAATGAAAAAAGGAAAAGTATATAAGCTACAAAAGGCTAAAAAATCTTTACCTTATTATTAACTGTATCACTTTGGTTTCGTCTGTTAATAAATTGAGATTCTTCTCTGCAAACTCAAGGTTACATTCTCCAAGGTTAACTATAAATTAAACAAGAAAATAAATCAGTTTCATTATCGTGAAAAAGACACCGCACTTCCTGTACTTCACTTGATATTTATCTTAATTTACAGTAATCTTTAATCAAAAGTTGAAGCACTTTTAATCACTTTTCTTCTTATGATTCATTTTAAAAATCTATTTCTAATTTTAATTGGCACACATTCCTCGATTAAAAGATGAAAACTTCCAAATGGTTTGATTTCCAAGAATTTAAATGTGTTCGTATTTTTAAATTTATAAAAGCAAAAAAGAATCAATCGTCACTCACCTAACAGTAGAATAAATACACTACAACAAAAAATAACACTCTTTGATGAACACATCGTTTCTATTTTCGTTTGAACAGGCCGAAGAAGATACGTATACAAATAAATATATAGAAAAAAATCTGTCTTTGTACGATTCACTTAAAGTACCGCTTCGTTAGGTACTACGGTATTTATGTGAAATGCACAGCTTGATAAGGACAACTAAGTAAGAGAGTGGGGTTGGGACCTCTACTCAACTTTTAGATAAAGACCAATGATAAACTCACAAGAACAACATGCTTATAAACGATGATATTCAAAAAAAAGGAATCTGTTTTGTCTCAAAAACTGTCTTGTTTTAAAACCATTAATATAAATGAATATTAATGTATTCATACGAGACAGTTTAAACGTTTTAAAAATTCATAACGTCCGGGAATATGACGTCACATAATGCAATATAACGTCACGAATTTGTATGATGAAACATTGAGGATTCATTGCGATCTCTAAATTTTTGCAACGTAATCATTAATGGTTGTAGATTTTAATTGATATTATTTGTAGATTAAAATGATTAGATAAGATTTTTAATTTTTAACGGAACTGGGTGTTTACTTATATCCGGGAATTACTTCGATATATATAGGTTATTAATTAATTTAATTAAATAGTATCTTTTAAATAGATCAGAACAAAAATTATAAATTAAGTCAAGTCTACACATAATCGTTCGTGCTAATTGAATAATGACTGTGATGTAGGTAGCAGGCTATTAAAACTTATTGTTGGCGGTCGTCAATTTAACTCATAAAAGAAACATACCAATAAAATACTTTTACGAACTTACATGCATGATTAGGATATAAACTAGATTAAGCCATAATTAAAAAAAATTAACCCAGAATGAGAAAAGAATATTTTACATTTGCTTTTATCAGTATATTAAGCAAATATTGGATCGGCATTTTAAGTAATTTAACTATAAAGCAGAAAATTTTGTTTAGCTGATATTTTAGTCATTATTTAAAATAAATCAAAAATTAATTTCTGGTTTTTAAGTCCTGGTCAAATTCTTATCAGGAAAATTGCCATTGTCATTTAAAGTCGATATTTATGATAAGCACACTTTTCTACAAATAATGAGCACTTAACTGTAAATTCTTTGCTTCGTTACAAGTACGAAAAGATTTGTAGCTAAAAAATGAAAAAGCCATCTTGTTTATTGCGACAAGGGCGAATTTCCATTGAGAGAATGAACGATAATATTCCGTTTGTTGGTATAGCTGAAGGGGAAATTTAAAGTATTGTTGAGTGGAATAACATTAATATTGCTTGAATGTTATCCCTCTTCCACTGGTCGATTCTCTAAAAGGGTTGCCGAAACCGTATCCACACATTAAGTGCACATGGGATAACGTAAACAATACGGCATGATTTGAGCAACAGGTGATATAATTCGAAGTGATTTCGTGTTATTTTACTGATTCATGTTATCAATTTCGAGCAAAGTAACAATTACCCTTAGAATGTTCGAAACAAAATCTGAATTATCTTCGGATGTGGACATAAAACCAAAAAGGAAGAAGCGTGTACTGAATAAAGCGAATCATGGTAAAGAAAGGGAGAATCTTGCAAGGCGAAAATGAAAAGAATATATCACTCATAAAAGAGCAATAAAACAGAAACCGATTGTACTTGCCGTAAGAAATGTATTTAAAAATATATTTATAAAGTAAAATTATGTGGGCGTCAGGTAGGTATCAGGCGTAGTTTTCGGCAATTTCAAACAGATACACTCATCTTTTGTATATCATGCAATTTTATTAAGAGTATAAGTAGGATTAAAGCCTGTTGAAACGCTTTCTTGAGCACTTCAATTCCTACAGCGTTTTTTTAAAATTGTGAAAAACAAAATGTTGCCTTTGGATCAAAAAGGTAGACATCAAAACTGTGGCAATACGAACAAGCATCCTAAAAAGTCATTGTAAAGAAGCAAATCACGTATTCTATATTAAAAATACCTTGATTAAAGAGATGTCGTAAAATACGAGTTTTAGTTGAAATATGTCAGAGAAAACTAGCTAAAATTTTGTAAGACCATAGGTGGACGTGAGCTTACCGTTTTAGTGTATTTATTTGTTTTTTACATTTTCGTACATTTTACGGTTTGAAACGCGCCAATATTATTCTGATGGATTATTCTGACGCTGTTTCGTAGAGGGGTTTGGCAGTGACGATAGTGTTGCTAACGAAACGTTCCAACCCAAAGCGTTAAAAAGCAAGTTTTTTGGACAATTTGTTCTGTACTTTTTTATTTTTTGTAACATGCAAAATCTGAGAACACTGCCACTTTCCGGTTTTTAGAATTATAATTCTTCGTAGTCCGCTACAGCTGCTGCAGGTATCCCTGCTTTTTCGCGTTCTACGACTGCTGCAAATGAAAACATTTTTAACAAAAGTAAGTGCAAGTAGATCTATTTGGGGGTACATTTCACTTCCAGAAATTAGTCTAGAAGCACCGATAAAATTTATCTATAAATTGCTCGACAAAACACTTACTGGAATACATTACAGACTCAATAATCTTATACGCATATACATAAAAGGAATCACTGCAGAACAACATCTATTGGTATAATTCGAAAAAGTCAACAAAAATAGGGCTATAAGATATTTTGTCTTGCAGCTGGTATCATATCCAATTTTGAAGTATATTAGGGTATAACAAGACAACCATACTACCTACCTGATATTATTTCTAGTAATGTAGATCGCTTAGACAAGCGCATTTCCAAGTACCAAACTTTTCAATTTTTTTACGATAATTGGTTATGCAGCCCAGAGTACTCAACTTCTCGCACAAATTGAGTTCAATGTAATAATTTATCGCACTGAAGGAAAAAGGACAAAGTAGTTACGTTTAGTAACCAGAAGTAATTATTTTTTTCATTTGATGGATATGTCTCTCGTAATTACCTGGTTTCTGTATTTTGATATAAAAACATCACCGTAGTGAAACTAACTGTAATTTTTCGACTTCAAAATAGCAATTACACATACTTTATGTTCGGATTGAAAATCAAGTAAATGAGGTCGCCCTTCTTCCAGTACTGTAAAGGATGTCCCAATTTCGTTGTCCGCATAGGCTATCTCCGAAATGAAAAGATATAGAAAAAAAGTAGCTTACATGTCATGATCTCGTTTTTCGAGAAAATGCTAATACCGACAACTGCGAACAGCTATCGTCTATTGTTTTCGCCCTATCGGCAAAAATGGAAATTTTCCGAAAACGACAATCGCGGATATCTCACTTATTATCAAAGATGGAGTATTATAAATAAAACATCGCTCGGCATTAGCATTTTCTCGAAAAACGAGATCATGACATGTAAGCTACTTTTTTTCTATCTCATTTAGTTTCGAAGATAGCCTATGCGGACAACGAAATTGGGACACCTGTACTGTCACAACCGAAAAGCAAAAGTAAATTGCCTTCAAATCGGCCAAATACTGATTGTCGCCTTGATCAAACGGACCACTGGTCTAATTACGAACCAATGATTGGGAGATGTAAGCACCAGAAGTGTAAGAACATTACAATTTATAATTACTTATACATATATCTGAAGAAGATACGCCACATTTAATAAATCAATTGAAATTAATTGAACGTATTCTCAGTTTATCAAAAACTCAGGCTGAAATATTAGGATCTAAACTTTCAAAATGGAAGTTGTCAGCGCTGCGAACTTTAGTACTCCAGTGGGTAAACATTTTATTCTCATTTTGGATATTATGATGATGAACAATTTTTTAAATTAATGTACCTCCTTTAAATACATAACTTTAATTTCACCTTTATTTTTAAGTACGTGGATTTTCAGTTATACGGTTTGTTTTAACCGCGTTGAGTTATCATGTACAGTGTGTTAATTAATTATCGTACCCGACGTCATCATTGCAAGTATGCAACCAATATCACATTATTGGTATTGCTATACGCGATTTACGTATGATGATTTACTGTGATGTTGGTTGCATATTTGCAATGATGACGTCGGGTACGATAATTAATTAACACACTGTAGTTATTATGTGCATTTGTAGTTTACTGTGGAGACTAAAGTTAACTCATTTATGCCTTTTGGGCACTAAAGTCATCAAAAATGATGATCAGACCGTTATCTTGGACTAGTATACTAAACCTATAAAGTGTAGTAGATTGTTAAATATTCAGTCTAATCATCCTATTAATGAAAAGGTTAACACTGATGTTACTATGCGTAATAGAAGTAAATTAACTTCCAATCACGTGTTTTGATAAAGTAATAAGAAAAGATTGATCAGTATTTTTATCAATAATGGTTTTCACTTCGTCTTCTTGGTTTTATCCTTAACCATAACAGTAATGCAATTAATATTACTAACCGCGTACCTTCATTACATGCAGTAAGTCGAACTCAGATGACTAAATATATACAAATCCCTTATTTCTTCAGGTGAGTAAAATATTAGGATCAAGGTTGCAATAACGGAAGTTGTTAACTCCGGGTACACGTATTTCTGTACGTGTTTCTGTACACTTTTGTAGAGGGCTGATCTCAAATTAGTTGCAATTCTGTTTATTCTACAACTTGGATTCATAAAGTATTGCTGATTCTTTTGTGAATCGAGTGTCTTCAATCGAAGAAGGTTGCTCTATACACTCCAATACACTCCTGGGGAAAAGCATGTAGTCCATAATTCGCTGGCGGGACCTCATAAAATATTTTTACCACCATTACGTATAAAAGTAGGCGTGATGCAGAATTTTATCAAAGCATGCGATAAAGAGGAAACAGAATTTCGATACTTAAGGGTGCGTTTACGTTGGAGCTGCGATAAACGATACTAGCAAAATAACGAAATTGTTGTCATAGTTTTATATGCAAGTGTTTATATTGGAGCGACGAATTGTCACAAGCTTGACAGCCGACTAACGATAAGAGCGACGCTAATTGTATTCCCTATTTTCTTTGCTATTATCAGATGTGGTCGGCATGGATATCGACTGTTTAATTAGTGACATTTTTGTTAGATCCCCCTTGTAGGACCAAAAAGATAAAAATTACCACAACAGATTTGTTCTGACAAATCGTTTTCAATTCATTTTGCGCAGCTCTTATCGCTGCTCTCATTGTTGTTCTTATCGTTTATCGCAGCTCTCGTTCCAATATAAACACCTGCATATAAAACTATGACAACAATTACGTTGTTTTGGTAGTATCGTCGCTATTATCGTTTATCTCAGCTCCAACGTAAACACACCCTTAGACAAACATTTCTTAGTATAATCAACGCATAACTAAAACACAACATCGAGCTTTTGACGTACTCTTAAGCGATTTAGAACTGTCTGCTTTGAATGTATTTAACAGTATAATAGAATTTCATAAGAAATAAAGAATCTGAAGATCAATGGGAAATTGTTAGTGAATTCATGTATTTTCTATAAAATTTCAGTCTGATGACTGTAATGATCAAGTTAAATTAAATTAATTTTATTTTATCCAAAGTTCACAACTTTACAATTTTAGACGTATATTTGGATAATTTTCTTGTTGAAGTATGTGACATGGACAGAGTATCGTCGGCTATATAAATATGTTCATTATTCCCACTATGCATAAGGCTTACTACAAAACTAGAGAAACATTCTCAAACCACCACAGAACCACTGCTATGTTTTAATCTTTAAAGTTAAACTTGGATTTTCTGCTTATTCCACTGGATTTTCAAGGACGTCCAAACATTTTTCCAGTTCTACAAGTCATATCTCACGACATTTAATAATTTGCTATATCACACATTTGTCTTCAAATCTAATCTTACCTTTTATTTTGCTTCTATTGGTCATGAAGTTTAAATATTTTAGCAAAGTTGTTTTGTATTTTTCTTATCAAAATGTTGTCATTAAGGGCTTTTTGAAATCATGACGACACAATTACTACATAATACACATAATCATAATAAAGTAAAAATATTCTTTTAAAAATTAATTTATGTGTATATAGGATTTTCATTTGGCTTAAATCTTTTGAACCATCTATAAAGAAAAACTCTTTGATGTTTTATAATAAAAATTTAATGGAGATCATATTGTTTGAAGGTTCGTTTTCGAATAAACACTCGTTTTACTAATGAAAAATTTCTCGTCGTTGAGCATTGTTTCGCTTTCAGGATTAGCATCCTCTCGGTGCCTATAAAACCCATAATGTTGAAGAATAAACACCACATCGAAAACTATCGTTAAAACACCAAGCCAAAACTTCGTTGGATTTTCAATTAAACCTTCCCATTCGTCGTAATTATAAGCGTTCAAACCCATTTGAAGAATACTAAGTATTCCACCGCCTAAATCCCATAAGATGTTATAAATGTTCCATCCAACAGTACTTTTTCTTTTGTAATTCATGTAAACCTAAAATTATAAAAATGTGAATTAAAAAAAAACTTTTTGAATTTGTAATTTACCTGCGGAAAATATTTCGTAATTGTTATTGATAATTTTATGTAAGAACAAGCGTACATAAAATCCAACCAAGACATATAATTAAAATTAGCAAGGATTAAAGCAACAATAAATATCGTCGCAAATATAGAATGAAATCCTTTTCCGATTATCGATATCCTCTGACTTCTTCTCTCGTATATCATGCATTGAACGCAATACACGATGGTTAATAGCAGGCCATGTAGGGCAAACACTATATCTTGAATTAGAATAGTGATGACACTTGTTGGATACCGAGCGCTATATTGTTCCTGAAATCGTCGTACCATGAATTATGAGTAATAGTCCTTCGGGACCACTTACCCTTATCACTGGAATCGCGTATAAACCGACGTTGAATATGGAGTAACACAGAAACCCGACAAAATTTAACGAAACAAAATCGAAATTGAGTCCAACAACACTAAAAAACCGAATGTTTTAAATAAATTTAATAAACACTAGAGTTATGTAAATTTAAATGAATGGAAATTATAAATCAATTCAACTCAATTTAAAATTTATAGAGTCAAAAGGATTTTCATTATTGTGCGTTAAATCAAAATAATTTTTCTACAATAGGTGTAATATTTCGTTAAAATAAACAAATATATTTATTTATTCATTATTATAATGAATCTTTTAGAATTAATTAAAAATTCTTTCGTTTAAAAATAATTGTATAGGCAACTGAAAATAATGATGTATTATTAAAGTTGTATATTATTAGGTAAAACCTCGATATAACGGATTAATACGAATAGTATTTGTGTTCAGTGTTTGTTGTGGCTAAAAGTTCGTTATATAAAAAAGTTTTAATTTGCACTTTATACTGTTTGAATAAAGAATTTTAATGCACACAAATTAGAACAGCTATCCACAACCGTTGCGTTCTGTGTTGGTTATTCTACTTTTAGTTCAATAAAAATATTCAACAATCTAACGCTGATTGCCTAACTTCATTTCTCCGTAAAGGGATAGAAAACGTAATTGATCAATACCTTAGGAATGGAGTGCTTGTCACTAATCCACTCAACCCTAGTCAACATCCTTACCAGAAAGCAAAATCAACAATTACTGCTCTCCATGCTTTGACTAGCACTTTAGAGGAGGCAATTGCAACCAAAGACATAGCCCCATGTGCTTTCAAAGCATTTGAGTAAAAAGCTCGAATTTTTGGAAGATAATTTGTGTAATGTTACCAAGTGTACACGTCCTGTACTCAAACGTAAACTCTCTCATTTCAAATCAGATTTCAAGAAGAAATGGATAGTTGCTCTAAATTATAGAGATGTGTTTGAAAATAAGAATAGTAGTTACCAGGTGTAGTTGTTTTACCGGTGCAGAGATCAGCTTCAGAGCAACCTGTTGACGACCACTGCAATCATTTTTGGAATCCAGTGAGTGCACTAAAAGGAGAAAAACAAAAAAACTGCGGGAAGAAACAGATACTGATAAATTGTTATATGCGACACAAATGACCTTGAGGGCCAGTGGTAAAGTAGATGCTTTCAACATTTTAAAAGAAGTAACAAGATCACCAGAAAGAGCATCTAAATTCCTTAAATCGACTGCTAAAGCACATAACATCCGGCAACTGTCTCCTACAGAACCTCTATCACTGTTTGTGGAGGGAGGCTTTACAAGAAGACAATACAATCTTGTGAAAAATGCGGATAAGGAATGCTTTCCATGTTATTCCGTACTACAAGAGGCAAAAAAACAATGTTATCCCAAACCCGAGGCATTTCATGTGACATCCACATGTGCTGAAGTGAAACTTCAAGCCATACTTGACCACACATGTTCACGGCTATGTCAGTCACGGAAGGAAATTATTGAAACATGCAATGAAGAAGATCGAACTAATTTAGAGTTGGTTTCCAAATGGGGCTGTGACGGATCCCAGCCGCAAACAGAAATTTGAAAATGAAACTAACTTCGATGGGAATATCTTTTAGAGCTCTTTTGTACCACTCAGATTAAGTGTCAAATATGGCAAAATATTGTGGCAAAACTCAGTACCATCGTTCCCCCAGATATTGTCGACCAATAAGAATAACGTTTGTTAAAGAATCAAAAGATATCGTCAATGACGAAACCCAATATATAAATAACCAAATAAATGACTTACAAAAAACTCAAATATTGTTAAAAAGTGGACCTGATGTTGTAGTTAGTCACACATTGTTGTTTACAATGATTGATGGGAAGATATGTAATGCTGTAACTAACACAGCTTCAAAAGATTTCAACAACCTATCGGACAAGAAAGATGTAAACCCAGCATCACTACAACTAGGGATATCTGTTCTCCATGCAAAGATACGCATATTCGAGTCCAGTCTTCACCTGTCATATAAAATTCCAATTCTAAAATAGCAGGCAAGGTCTGATGAAGATAAAAGAATTATAACAGAGACAAAAAAAATATTGAAAGGAAATGGGCCTCCTTGTCGACATTCCAAAAGCAGGTTTCGGAAATACCAATGATGGAAACACTGCTAGGAGATTTTTTCAGGACCCAACATTGAGCAGTCAAATTACAGGAGTAAACAAAACATTGATGGAGAGGTTAAAAATAATATTGGAGGCCATATGCAGCGGATATGAAATTGATATTTGTAAATTCGAAAAATATACCATAGAAACAGCTAAACTGTACATAAGTTTATACAGCTGGCATCTGATGACCCCAACTATGCACAAAATTTTAGTGCATGGTACAGATATCATTTCGCATGCTTTGTTACCGATTGGACAACTTTCAGAGGAGGCTGCTGAAGCCAGAAATAAACATTTTCGAGCATATCGGCAAGGTTTTGCAAGAAAATTTGCACGAGAAATATGCAATAAAAACATTATAAATCGATTACTGCTGAGTTCGGATCCTATGTTAACAAGTATACGTCCGTTATCAAAAAAATCATCGAAGCCTTTACTAACTACTTAATTAACTACCGTTAATATTTTATTCGTTATATTCGCAGTCCGTTCTAACGAGGTGCGTTATATCGAGGTTTTTCAGTACTATTTTTATATTTATCAACAAAATGAGTGAGTATTTTATTATTATTTATCATTATATTCGTTACATCCTCATAAATTATTAATCTGTTTCTAATCGACTATAATGACGTTAATTTATTTAAAACCATCAATCATCAGTACATTTATTTATCAATAACCGCATTAAAGAAAACCCATAAATACGTCAGTCAATATTTAAAAATTGATTTATAATTTCTTTATATTAAGATAAAATAATAATTAATCATTATTGATTTTGAGTTTCACCTTTTCCTATGATAATTGGTCCAAACTTGCGGATAAAACGACATTGACCAAGCAAAAAAGTACATCCAACCAATCACCTCAGATAAGCTAACGATCAAATCGCTTTTATGCACATTTATTATTGTAAAACCTCCGCTAATACTAAAAAAGAAATAAAAAAATATAATTCAAATTTTATTAATTAAAAGAAATTTACTTTGAAACCGTATTATTATAATTAGATAATATCCTTGTTATCACATCTGATTTTCCAGGATGTAATCCTTTGACAGTTAAAAGAACAGGATCCTGTGAATTCACATCGAGAGATTCCGGGTTGACTCGAATTAAAGATAAATTTTCAACTAAAAAATAGATGGTCACGTTGTCGTGTTTATCAGGGATTCTGAAATTAAAAGACCGAAAAAAAAATCATGTTGAGCGATTGTATAGGGATTATTTACTTAACGAGCAGTTAATTTACCCGTTTATCAGCGGATTTCTGTGATTAGTTTTCGAAATAAGTTAATTTTACCTTTATTAATTTATATTTATATTTTTTATTTTGTTGACAACGGCGGATTATGAATGACGGCTGAAAAAAATTAGCGTTAACATATACCGCGATGGAGTAGCGATAAAAAATTTACAAAAAAAAGTTTTAATTAAAAAATCGTGTACATGGCACATTTTGTACAGTTAAAGAATGAAAGCATATTTATGCAAACTATAATAAAATTGGCTCGGTATTTTTTTTCTGTACAAAAAATTCATGCTATATTTAAAATTAAATAATATTCAATACATACTCTGGAATATATGCTATATCTTTCGATGTTGTTACGAGGATGTTGTGTATTTTCTGATCAAATCCCTCGTAAGAACTGATACCTTCAAAAATTGTAGTAAATAATCGATTATTCAAATTAACTTTTAATATTAATAATTACAATTTAATTTTAATGGAATACTTACATGTTAAAAAACACAAAAAAATTAACAAACTTGTTTTGTAAGACATTGCGTGCGATCAGTTGATTGCGTTCACGGTAAATGACGTGAAAAGTCCAACCGTTAACAGTGTATAAGCTCGTTTTTTGTAGATAAGTAATATCGTAAATCCATAGGTGTTCTGGAAAAAGTTTGTTATTCTAATAATAAATTTAGTGATGAAAGAGTACGTTCATTGAGCGAAATTACTTACACACCTCCTTCCAGGGTACGCAGTTTTATTTTCAAAAAATATTTACTTAAGATAACCAAGATATGTTCGAAAATTTCAAAACATATTGAATGGAAAGTTTCCAAAATGCACAAAAATAAATAAACTATAATAGATAAATAAGTTCATTAAAAACGCATTAAAAATTTTAGATAAAAAATGTACATGTGGTTAATTGAAGTATTTTGTTAGGTATTAGTAGTAAAAAAATTATTTCAAACTCTCGCATAATTACAAATTTGATGGTACAGGTCAATGAATAGGTTTGTATAACTCATGAGACAGGTTTCGGTCAACAAAAAGTTTAGTTAAAGGAAGGTCATTTCAATTTTTTACATTTAAAAAAAAATAGTGACAACGCAAAACATACCTGGTGTTTTACATAGCAAATAATGTTTAAGAAGTTTTCCCAATGCGGAATAAAGCATCCAAAGGTGTAGACGAAACGAGGAAAAACAAACATGGAAAACGAGCAGTTAAGAAGTTACTCGAGTTTAAAGTCATGATCACCAGTTTAATGAAGCAGGGATTAATAGTAATTCATAGAGAACGAAGATAAAAACAAAAAGAGGGAGGTGCAAACCTAAGGAAAGGATGTAAAGCCAATTTACTCTAGAATTCAACGAAATCGAAGCAGATTTCATGCATCTCATGAAGCGAGTTTGACATGCATGATTTAAATAGCAGAAGGCATGATCCTCACTGGCCAGATGTCCGGCAAACATCAAAGAAGAACAAAAAAGAGAGGCCGTAGATAGAGGAAAGGAATGGCCAAAATACCAAAATCAAATTGGAAGTGTCTTATGCTAATAAGGTAGTATATGCTAAGAATGTCGCTGCATCGATAGACCCTATCCTATCAAAACACGAAAGAGTTGTATATCAAAAGGTGGCGTAAGTGGTGCTCAATATTCTTCAGGGATTGATCCCTACCATAGTCTCACAACAAATCAAAAACGATAAGTAAAACTAACGATATTTTATTTCAGAAAAATTGATTGGTTTCCATGTAACGCCCACTGAATCATCAAAATCTCTGAAGAACTTTAGGAATTTACAAAAAAAGAAGAGATCTCCGTAATGATGACAAGCCATTTAAAACCTCATATGTACGGTAGAATATCAGGATTTAATTATGACTACGTATGTTACAGATATTCGGCAAGAGCAGTCCATGGAAATGGAACCAATGCGAACGGAAAGCAATTTCGGTGGAGAAACATTTTCTTCTTCTTCTTATTGGAGATCTGTCAATTCTGAGGTCGTTGCCTTTGAACTATTTCCTATGATGTCGATTGTCAGCTGTCACTCCATCTCTTCCAGGTACTCTAGAACCGGGGGGTTTATTTACAAGCACAATTTTCGGAAGTCTATCATCGCTCATATGCCTCACGTGACTATGCCATTGTCTTTTCCGCTGTCTTCCCTTTTCTCTTGAGTATGCATCGCTATACAAACCCTCCAAATAAGTCCATCGGAATCACTATAGGAGTAGCAATATTATAGGAATTATAGAAATAGGTACTATAAAAATAGGCAAACAAGGGAAAGTAATTTGTAGCGACGATAAGTCCAGTTTGTGGAAGTCACACAACGAATACTAGGGAACAGAATTGAGGAATGCTATTAAGAGCGGAGAAGTCGATCATGGGATTAAGTGATCGCCCAGGTTTCAGGGGAACCGAATTGCTAGGACAACAAGGACAAACATTAAACTAACTTAATTAAACTAACACTAGCCTAAATTCTCAAGTTAGAAGAATACGTTGTTAAGGATATAGAGGAAAAACTGAATATAAATGTAAAAGGCCAAATACTAACTGATGCCATTAAGATCATGGCTATGGAAGAAGCAAAACTCACAATGTCCCTGAGAGAAATCCAGACGCGTTGAGATTACGGAGAAAATTAGTAGGACAATCGACATATTAAATCCAAGGAAAGTGATTGGAGTGAATGGTATTTCAAAGACGTTGAAGATGACAAAAACAAGACATCAAACGATTGCGGTGCTTTTAGATATCGAGAAAGTTTACGACTACGTCTGATAAGATGGGCTGTTGGCAAAGATGTTCGAGGCCAACCTGGAAGGAAATCTAGTCAATGTGACGACTTTCTTTCTAAAGAAGAGATACTTCCAGGTGGAAATGAGAGATGAAATACCCACCGCAGCGTAAGAAGAATGAACCAAGGTTTGCCGCAAGGATTTCCGCTTTCCCCTCTGCTACATAATATATTTGTACACGATTTCCGAGCAACGATAGCGAAAACCAAGTCAGAAGATTTTGAATTTATAGATGCTACGGAGATAGTGGCCGAACTGAGAGGAAATTTCGCCTCATAGCGATCCAAAAGTGAAGTTTCAGTTTAAACTGTAAACTGGTGCTGCAAACGATGGGGAATTTTATTGAATAAGAAGACTGAAATATTAAATTTTAACAAGAAAAGCACGAAGAAAACCTCCCTAGATATGCGGAAGAAATAAATCACATACTTAGGAGTAACAGTTACTAAGAGTAACGGAAAACTGAAAGCCGTAAAATAAGTTACCAAGATTGTGAAGAGAAGAGGAATAAATTACACTTCGTCATAAGTGGACAGTTGCCGCTTCCAACAGCAATAAAGGTAAGGATAGCAGAAGCTATAATAAAGCCGCAGTCAACATATGGAGTAGATATCGTGAAAAGTTACAATAATGAGAAGGAATTGGAAGTGTTTAGAAACAGAATTATGCATTTAGCAACAAATACTCTTTATTACATCAAGAACGCAGATATGCCAGAAGCGAAGAAAATGCTGTGCGATATGCTAGTAGAAAGAAAATCCAATTGTTGAATAGCTTAAAAGAAAACGATGATCCGTAACCATTGATTTGAACAACCTGATTATCAATCTCATGAATGTATTTAAAGCAAATTTATGTTATTCGGCCTTTGATGAGTGTGGAACATTGGTTGGAAATCAGTCAGATGGATATCGAAACTATGTGAATGAGCGAAAAGACAAGGAATATTTAAAATAAGAAAGAATCGATAAACAATTTGGTATTGAGATACAAATAAAAAAAGTTACAAACGAAAGTATCGGAGATAAATCAGAGAGTAGATCAAAACAATAAGTGAAAACACCAAGTCGACACAATAACTTTGATTTAACTATATCGACTGAATAAATATCAAAGGCTAGTACTAGACACAGAAACAGTACTATTCTTTGAAGATAGTATATACTGCATGTATTGTAGAACATAGCAACGACGAAGAGTATAAAATTACCGAAATTGGATATAAAGCCGGCCTTCCTGTTTGGTGTAATTGATGAAGTATTATATTATCAGAATCTTTTAAAACTGCTGTGCCCATCCTTTATAGTTTACGAAGAGTGCAAACTAGATTTGTCGGACAATCACTATATAGAACTTCAAAATGAACAGTACAAGTCTTGAAAGTATAGAAAGAAAACCTGTACGACGTAATTGTACCATTGAGTGAATTACGTTTACATACGCTGCATTTGCTTAGTGATGATTGTTAATCAACATGGTGGGAGAATGAAAGGATGTTTTCCATTTCATTCCACTTTTGCATCTCCCGGTCTCCCAGTAATTGAAGGACTCCCTTTCCGGCGATGAATGGAAATAAACAGAATCATGGATTTAATCTGGATATTGGTCGACCGTTTATTAATTGTTGATTTCCGCGAACTCAAGATTAAATCTTCATTTATATATATTATGCGTAATTGCGAAAGTTTATTAAGATATTAGGTATTATTTATATATATTAGGTATTAATGTGTGTGATATAAATCAAAGACCTTTCCATTAGCATTTATGAAGTTAACTAAATTATGAATTTTATGCATTTATTTATGAATTGTTAACTTTGTACATATTTTAAATAATCCTACCATAAATTAAGACATATTTATTTCCCTTTTTATTTCATGGTATGAAAAGCGATTTGCGGCTCGCGATATTGGCCGATGTAATATAATAACGCAACGCAACGTAAAATGCGATTAATTTTAAATATTTCAAAGTTGATTAATCTATCAAAGAGTGAAATTAATACTGCAATTGTAATTAATACTAATCCGGCATATAGATATTCCTGTACATATCTGTTGAAGTTTATGAGATGTCGAGGAATTAATCAAAATTACACATAAAATCCATCATTTTTTTATTAGGAAGTAATATTAAAACTTCTACAAATATACTGCAAGATACCTTCTTGTAGTATCTTACAGATTTCTCTACGATATGAAAAAGTTGTTGCAAATAAATATCATATGATGTACTGTTCGAATGACAGTGAGGGTTGTTCTCTATAGGTGCATAAAAAAATACTGCTACACAAATTCTGATAAAGTAACTAAAACTCCACAACTGCAATAAATAATTTTGCTTTAATTCTCAATTGTCGCATTTAATTCAATTACATCATCCCTAATTAAATTAAGGGTTGCAGTTGTGAGCTGGAACATAGTCATGCATGTTATCACAAACAAACAAAACGCAAATAACTGAAAATTGACCCCAATTTGTAGGCCGAATTTTTACATTGGAATCCGCACAATTTTTTTATGTTGTTCTTCAATCCTCGGTATGGAGTACCTAAATACCTAGTTTCGTCAAAATCGATGATTTACTGTTGGGAATGTTCGCTTGTTAGGTGAATCTGGTGTTGATTTTGTTAAATGCTCTAATTGCAATGCCACATAGATTGGATAAACTGAGAGAAGGTTATGAACTAGGTCAGAGAGAGCATAAAATAATAAGTCAATGTAATGTTTACATAACTATAAAAAATAATTTGAGGTTTATTTATTTACATCGCCACTGTCAAACCCGGGAATATTTTAGGACTTGCTGGTAGCAGCATTAATGTTCTAATGGGTTTCTTTACTGGGCACTGCCAATTAAAGACACACCTCATCTTGTTGGGACTAGTCGACGATGACCTATGCGAAGTTAGCTCC